TTCTCTCCCCCAACCACAACCACCTTTTTCTTTTTTTGTTCTTTGGGTGAGGGAAAGGGCAGGTGCTTCAAAATGATAAGGATTCGTTTCAACACTTGCGAAGTTGTATATGCCAGCATTGTGCCAGTCAACACATGGGCGGATCATTTACATAGAAACATCATCTTCATAGTGAAACTTGAGCCCGTGATGTAGGAGGTTGAGCTCGTCGTCTAAAACTCTCTCTCTAATAAGACATGATTTGGAATGACAGCTCCCTCTTCATCTTTATTATAATTTGTCTCAGCCATATGATAGAACCCCAGGTAATAGAAGACGGATATGCCAATGGTGTAAAACAAAAGTACGCCTCCAGCCTCGGCAAGGAATGGGATTTGGATAGAGTCGAGCCCAAAGCATAATGCTTCTCCGGCACCGAGCACGCCGCGAAACACGCCGACGTAGTGGGTGAGCGTTCTTGGATTGTTGGTCAAAGCACCAAGCCAGTAATACACAATGTTGTGCCAGAGTTGCTGGACAGATGTTAAATTCACGCATCACAAAAGGGGCTCTGGTGACTCACGCATGAGATCCACGTTAGCATGAATAGAATAAAGATTGCGCCAAATCTAGGTTCTGTCCAGTCCGTGGGTGTCGTTGGTGATTCTGCTCGATTGAAGTCGCGAACACGAATCTGATCACATGTTTTAGCAGGTGAAATATCGTAGTTGATTAGTCTGCATACCATTTCCCATACCCAGGCGGCAATTATTGGGACAGACACGACCGTGAGGCCAATCAACCCGCGCTTCTTTCTGCCCCAAGTCTTGTGGTCCAGAATCCATTGCAGACCGTAGCCAGCAGGAATTTGTAGAACGACAGCAATGAAGCTCAACAGCGAGCGAACTCTCAAGTTGTTCAAATACGCTGCGAGATTTTGCCCTTAGTACATGTCTCACTCCGAATATCCGACAATCAACTCTCAACTCACCGTTTACGGCCCCGCTGTAGACCAAAAAGCACTCTGACGGAAAGAAAGCCGGTAACATCATGAGTAGCTTTGGGTCCTTGAACACGGACAGGTTGTCCTTGAACTCCTCCCAAGCACCTCTCGGGGGGTTGACAGCCACAACAGAACCATCATCCCTCTTGAGCTTGTGAGGACGCTGCAGCGATAGACACAAGAGTCCACCAATGACCATAATGACAATAAAGGTAATGTAAACGGAACGGGGCACCCCAGCGGTCGTGTCAGAGTCGCGATTAATGATTACGGGTATGATGCCCCCAATCACAGAGCCAAGAGCCTGCATGTTCATGAGCATGGTGGCGTAGGCGCCCTTTTCGCTCTCTTCTGGATATGCAGTGGCGACATAACCGGCCGTAATGAAAACACACCCGGCGCCGATGCCAATGATGGGCCCCGACACGAAAGGATAGTCTCTTTTGCCTGTTTCATCGTAGTACCACAGCGATCCAACATAGACAGCATACTGCAAGATTCGGTGTTAGCTGGCGTTTCTTTTGCATTGATCCTGGCAATTTGTAGCAGACCATAAAAATGCGCCGTGGTCACTTACTGTTTGCACACCAATACACATGGTAATTCCCGGACCCAGCTTGTTCAGTATCGAGCCTCCGAAAGAGGACGACAAGAACCAGACAGAGCACAGAGTGGCATTGACGACTTGGACAACCTGTGCGGAGTCTGGACGACCTCCACCTGCGCCAAGCAAGTTTAGAGCAACATATAGACCAGCGGAGCAGCCGACGCCAATGCCGCTGATGAAATTCTGCGTCCAGGGGCTGTTTAGACGGAAACGTTGATGTATGCTTTTGGCCATGATTTCTGTATCATGTTGGTTTGAGGTCACACTCTAGGAAATGATGAAAGAATTTCGGTCCAAAAGTGAGAAAAGAAATCGATGAGTGCACCGGCGATATCTTTATCAGCAGTTTACACGAAGTTCGCATGGTGATTGACAATCGCGGTAAGGATCCTGGGGTATCTCATTGGCTGTATGGCTGCGAATCTGCAGCCGATCGGCAGTCTTATAGGTGTTTTTGGTAGCATTGCATTATCCATGCATGTTCTGAACCAGATCCGCATCTTCTCTGCTGGCATCGCTATTGATCCCACACATGCCACTCATTAATGATTTGGACAAATATTATTAAAAAACTTCAAGATTCGCAAAGACAAAAGATAAATTTATGTGCACAAATATTGATATATAATTGAGAAATATGAAAGATTGTATTGTATTGTATTGGTTCGACCAACTGTAGTGATGCTTAGGGACATGCCCCGCAATTGCCTTCCATGTACCTACCACCTTACAAATAAAGATTATCGTTTATTCTCTTCAAAAATGTTGGAGTAGTATTGAAAGATATCAATTAGAATAAAAGCTCGACTTTTTTTTTTGCAATAAATGTCGCTTTGGAGCTCTGTATACTACGCGCCGTTCGTAGTCGAGGGCAAACAATACGGCGAGTCGCGGCAGTGCGGCAATTACAGCTTCACGCGCGTTTACGCCGCTAGCCACGTACCAAAAGGTGTTTACGGGGTGGTTTACGGGACGGCTGGAGAATAATTCCAAGTAAGCGTCACGCCGAGGGGCAAATATAAAGGTTATTGATGCGATTTGGAATTGAAAGCGTTATTAGTTGATGTGGTTGACATGTTCTACTTCGTTCTCTTTCTTCTTGGATTGTTCTTTTTTTTCAGTACATTATCTGTATATTCTTACATAAAAGATAGCGCATTGTTGAAAGACTATATGTATTTGATGTGAATGTAACAAGCATTCTCTCCTGGTTCAGAATGTCTGGCTGTGCAAGAATCATACTACGGCATCACAAAGCACCTATAACAAGTCCCAATACCTGAGTTGCAGCCTTACGTAGCCTCATTCCAGTCTTCCCTTAGATTTAAGCATGAATTCAACAAGCTATTCCGACTACTAGGCTGTACTGTGGAAATTTTGGGTCGTATTCAGCAGTGGCGTTAATGTAACTGTGAGTATCGATTAGAGACACTGCCGCCGAGCATGGAGAAGTCCCATGTCCTATTGGTTCGTTACCACGCACCAAAACTGCACGTCAAGATTGGATATACAGAACCGACCAGTGAAATTCTAGGTTCGGAACGGACGACCCCGGCACGCATGTCTTTGCAGGTCATCGACCACTAACGGCTCAAACATCCTGGCCAAATGCTCATAAGGTTGGGTAACGGTTTTGGCCGATCTTGAGGCTGTACACAATTAAGACAGACCCCAACCAATGAATTATTTTTTGCGCGTTTGGATCTTGGGGTACACAACATTGTGCTTGCAGCTTAAATGACTGGATTATTACCCAGGTACCTGCTTCCCGACAGCCTTGCTACCGCCAACTGCGCGCCATTCCTTTAAGATCTCTCTCGCATGCATTCTATTTCGCTGTCCCACTGTGCTCGGTCCAAACCATGACCTTTTTCAAGTTCCTGAGACGGCGTTCCAGTCCCGGACATCGTATCAGACAATGCCCAGGCTGTACCGGCGACGACTCTTCGTCCTTTCCCAGCAGCTGCGAAACCATTTGTAGTGAGTTGGATTCCACTACTCGTCTTTTCATTTCCGAAACTATTGGTTGACATCATTCTAGGCTCTGCAGAAACGGAGCTCTCTACTCTCGGCAACGTGACTGGTTCATGCGGAACTTTTCAGTCATCATACGAATCATGCGCCTCTTGTCTTGTCTCCGTCTCCGACAATACAACCGAAGCCGGCGAAATATTGGCATCGCCTTTTTCGAGATACATATATGAGTGCAGCGCGACTGCACAAGAAGTCACTGCCACAATATATACAGCCGTCGGGGAGACGTCAACGCCCGTTACAACTATAACGACTGCTCTTTCCATATCACTGAGCTCCAGTGATTCATCATCTGGTACTACATCGACCACAACCCCATCGACATCAACTCGCTCAACCAGCACAGCTTCTCCCACCAACAGCAATCTCATACCATCGGCAGAACCGACGATAACCACGACTCCAGACTCTGAGAGCAAAGCATGGTTGGCCGGTCCGATCCTTGGGTCAGTATTAGGTGTTGCAATTTTAGTCTTGGTAGTCTTTCTCGTGTATCGTCGTCGTCGCAACGCCAGGAAGAAGATGTCCCCGGATGAATTAACGGATAAACCGCAACTGCACTCAGACAGCATACCGTTACCGCCTCCTGAGGAGCTCGACGCTGGCATGAGGCATGAGTTGCCAGGCGACGAGCCTAGAGATCCGAATGCCGTGGTTACCGAGCTTCTGGGAGAGGACCCTCCCAGGAAACTAGATAAGGCATATGGCAAGACTGAGCTTCCTTTTTATGAGCCTGAGCAACTTCCTAGCTAGACATGATACAGTATATTGCCATGCTGGAGTGGTATATTATGGTGATGGGTAAGCGTTTTGGTAGTAGATATATTCCCAGCCTTATCTACCTTATTCAAACCATGCTTAACTTTGAACGAGTTTCTCGGAACAACTAAGATTACAAAACGAACCATGCCTCTGTGCTGCATTCTCGTAGGGCCTGTCGTATGGTGATGTAGACGGATTACTTGTCATCAGCCTTTGGGGAAGCAACTGATTACTGCAACATTGACACCGCTACCACTTACAGCACGAAGACGTGAATGACGACGGGCGAGGAATATCATAGAACTGTTCAGGCAAATGGTTATTTGCCTTTCCGTCGTTGTCGGGTCGTTTGGGAGCTTTTGGAACATATTTTCCAAGCTCTATGAGAAACGTGATCACAGAAAAAGACAAGGTCACTATGATGGTACACGTGTGGTGCACATCATGATGAGTAGTAGCATGGACCAAGATGATGTATTACCTTCCAATTGATCCTAACGTGATCTGCGGTGCTCTGCGTACTACTACTCTATCACATTACCCTATCAACAAAAGAACAATTCTTCCATAACTTAAGGATCATGCGCCACCAATTCCGACACCTCCTGACATCATGACTCTTCGAAACAAATCTCTAATCTGATCGTACACTGTGACGGACCGTTCTCGTGTCCTCTTTTCTCCCTTCGTTGTTTCGGACACTTTCTGCGCTCGGATCTTTCAATCTGATCTTCTTGCAATCTGACCCCGGCATGGATTCTAGTAAGATATTCTCTCCACATCTTCATCGTGGCGATTTGAGCTGGATGTTGAAGATTCTGGTGCCACCTAGAGGCGGACGGTGTCTGTGGTGCAGCGAACGATTGATTTAACGACTAGTCTGTTGCCCTCGTAGTGGCAGTTTCTTGTAAACGAGTTGACGACTCTGCAGTGGCCGCTGTCCTCGTCGTCAAGGGCCGCGAGGTGGTAGTCGCGGTCCTTGTACATGGCTAGAAACGATATTAGTATCAAAATATGTAAAGAGAAGAAAAAGGGAAATCGAGAGAAAAGGGAGCAAGAGTGAGTAGAGGGAAATGGGCACCGGGAAAACGGAGATCATCGCACTGTAGTGACCAAAGTCGGTGTTGAATTCAATCAGCTCGGGGTCGAGCGGTCTGATGCCCTTGTAACGAACGCCTTGCTTGTCGCCACTGACGTCGATGGATTCGAACCAAGCTGGAATCGACCAGAGATTGTTGCAATTGAGATGGCCGTCGCCCTCAACAAAGATGTAGCGCGTGTTGATCTTGTAGTTACCGTCAATGCCCCTGAAGTAGAGGTCGGCGGCCATGATGGTGAAGTCGGCGAGGATGCCGGTAACCAACATCAGGAGGATGATGAGGACCAAACGAATGCGCAGGACAGCCATTGTATCGAAATTGTTTGCATTGGTGCAGGAAATGCGAATTGAAGATGAACAGCGATGGTTGAGCAATACTTTGAGTATTCTTATCGTTCTTGACTGACCGCAAGTATGTGGTGAAGTGACTGTCTGGTGTAGAGAAACACGAGAAAACGAGGGTGCTGGTGATTTCTTGAAAACGAGAAAATTTTTCTCTTTCACTCTGAATGTGACTAGAGTCGCTGTGCTTTTTGACGAGGAAAAGACAAACGGCTAATTTGGCGAGAAAATTTTGATCCCCCACTAAGTAAGGATGCCTCGTGGCCCTACCCAAATGAACATCACCAACTAAATTTTTGGTGTTTTCATTTATGGCCCATATTGCATATTGCAACAAGACAAAGAATCATAATTGAATAAACCTGTCATAAATCGTTCATGATATTTTTTTTTAAGATATTGGTTGTCATTATTTTCAGTCCACATTTTCATTCATATGCCAATGGTTGCCGGGTGAAAATTGCAAAAACACGGCATAATCCACAAAAAGCATGCATCGTGCATCGAAGTTCATACCATAACAATGAATTTGAGACTCAAACATTTGAGTTGAGAGCCATTCTTTAAAGGTGACACGCGTGGTCTGCTGCACTGACTCGAAATGCATATGGGATTGCCAAGATTGAGACGATCATTATTCGCGTAAAGCAATGAGGTGTTTGCGCAGATCGATGCAGAACAGGTCAGTGTACAACTGGCAAGGCCAAGTCATGATTCTTGACCACACCTCGGTCCGAGATGGACGAGTTGCACTATACAATTGCATGGAATAGGCCCAAAGGGGTCATGTCCCCCACTATAATGCACCAACTATCGTCATTGCTGGGTCACCAAGTCCTAAACCCCCAGAATTGGAGTGGGGTTGTCTTTGCTTGCCTCTAACCGCTCCCAGCGATCGCCCATCATAGATGCCTTGGTGGGGTTCCGAGTGCGTACGGTGATATTCTCGGAGAATCGACAATGCACATGGCCAGTCAATGTGAGAGAGATTAATTGTGTATAAATTCTGATCACGCAATTTCTATAGCTAGCAGACGCGTATTCTTTCCACTACACTGCTCAAAAAACCCCGAGTCTTTGAATACCCCAATTGAGTCAAGGCAATATGGCGACCGAGGCTTACAAGAACTCATCCTTCTCAAGTCCACAATGGTGGAAAGAGGCCGTCGTCTACCAAATATACCCTTCTTCATTCCAGTCGCACCCGGGCAACAAGTCAGGATGGGGCAGCGTCAAGGGCATCACCTCGCGGCTGGACTATCTCAAAGATCTGGGCGTCAATGTCGTCTGGTCCAGTCCCATCTTCAAGTCTCCTCAAGCCGACATGGGATACGACATTGCCGACTACAAGATGATTGACCCCTGCTACGGCACGCTCGAGGACGTGGACGTGTTGATTGCCGAGCTCAAGAAGCGCGACATGAAGTTGATGATGGACCTCGTGGTCAACCACACGTCCAACGAGCACGCCTGGTTCCTCGAGTCGCGCAGCAGCAAGGAAAACCCCAAGCGTGACTGGTACATTTGGCGCAAGCCCAAGAGCGTCGGCGCCGACGGCAAGCCCGAGCCGCCCAACAACTGGGCCCAGATCCTCGGCGAGGCCAACTCTGCCTGGACGTACGACGAGGTCACGGGAGAGTATTACCTCAGTCTTTTCACGCCCGAGCAGCCCGATCTGAACTGGGAGAATCCAGAGGTCCGCGCCGCAGTGTGGGACGTGATGCACTTTTGGCTCAAGAGGGGCGCCGCTGGTTTCCGCATGGATGTCATTAACCTGATCTCCAAGGTCCCCGGATACCCTGATGCCGAGGTCGTGCTGAGCAAGGGACACAAGTATCAGCCAGCTTGGAAATACTACGTCAACGGACCCAAACTGCACGACTACCTGCAAGAGATGCACCGAGAGGTCCTCAGCAAGTATGACACCATTACAGTGGGAGAGATGCCAGGCGTAAGCGACGAAAAGGAGGTGTTGCGCACCGTCGGTGCCAAGGCAGGAGAACTGCGCATGATTTTCATCTTTGACGTTGTGGACATTGACAAGCCCAACGTACGCATGGCCTTGAAGCCGTGGGATGTCAAGGAGTTCAAATCAATCATCTCGAGGTGGCAAAGAGTCATGATTGAGCTGGACGGATGGGACTCTGTCTTTATCGAGAACCACGACAACCCCCGCTCGGTATCGCGCTACGCCGACGATAGCGACGAGTATCGTCACCTAGGCGCAAAGCTGATTGCCCTCATGCAAACGACCCTGGGCGGTACCCTGTTTGTCTATCAAGGCGAGGAGATTGGTATGCGCAACATTCCCAAGGACTGGGACGTTGAGGAATACAAGGACATTGAGACGATCAACTACTGGAAGAAGATGAAGGAACTGTACGCCGACGACGAAGAGCAGCTCAACCACGGCAAGACGGTCATTCACATGAAGGCAAGAGACCACGCGCGGACGCCGATGCAGTGGGACGCCTCGGCCAATGCCGGCTTTTGCGATGCCGACGTCAAGCCCTGGATGCGCGTCATGGACGACTACCCGACCATCAACGCGGCAGCGCAGACAAAGGCCAGCGACGACGACAACCTGAGCGTTTGGCAGTTTTGGCAGCGCGGTCTCAAGGACCGCAAGGAGCACGCCGACGTCTTTGTCTATGGAGATTTCCAAGAGTTGAGCCACGAGCACCCCCAGGTCTTTGCCTACACGCGGACGAGCGTTCAGGGCGAGAAATGGCTGGTTGTGCTCAACTATTCGGGCAAGCAGGTTGAGTGGTACTTTCCTGAAGATCTCAAGGTCGACTTTTGGGCTGCCAGCAATTATACCAAGGGTCGCATCGGCAAGCCACAGACGGCCATGGTGCCTTTGAAGCCATGGGAAGGTATTCTTGGAAAGTGCATTTAGAGTGGAATTATAGACTTGCTCAAGTACGACTAGCTTGATGTTATGATATAATGATTCCTTAGACTTCTAGAAAGACCAATATCTAAATTTTTTGACTATTTCCAAGGTTTCCGATCAAGCTGAGTCATATTGCTGATAAACGCTAGATCCAGACTGAGGGAGCAACATGATTCTGCAAATGTCGATACACAAGAAGAAACAACAGGAGGTACTTATATCCTAAGCATGGAAGTGAACTCTATTCAAGTTGTAGAATCAAAGTCGTGCAATCAACAAACATGCCAAAGTAGTCACCAACTTTCCCTAATAATGGAGAACAAGCATGAGTGGTTCCCACATACCTGCTCGTAGTGGAGGGGCATCTTTCCCACTTCTTACCCCACAACTGTCTCACCTGAAGCTAGGAATGTCCCGCAAATTTATGTGTCATATACTAGATTAAGCTCCCCTCTTTCAACAACCAATCAAGCAATAATTGCTCAGGCACTTTGGCGGAGTGGTTAACGCGCTGCCCTGCTATTCCTACAAGAATAACCAAAGGCAGTTCCCTCGGGAGCGAGTGTTCGAATCACTCAGGTGTCGCAACATGAAATATACCACAATTTTTTGGCGATTCATTTTGCCATTTGGTAATTGTTCTTGTTATTTTTTTTAGTATACTGGTGATGCACAGAGTATAGACAGCAATAGCAGGCCCGGGGAGCTGGGTGCTGGGAGCTCACGGACCATTCATGACATCCTGGCAGCCCGGGAAGCTGGCTCTGGTGCACGGACCTGCCGCGACACTTGATTATCCAGATAATGGGTTGCTCTTTTGGCAGCCACCACTGGTAATGGATTCTGCATCTGTATAATTCAAGTAGGCCTATTATATTTTGCAAAGCCTCTGCTGTGGCAAGGTGGATTACAAGAGCTGGAAGGTGGGACACAAAGCTCGAAACTTTGTCTGTTTGCCAACAAATCTCTAGTTTGGAAACCCCTCTGCTAGTGCTACCTAATGGAATCTCGAAGCTCTCATCACTTGATGGAAAACCGTTTAGTCACATGCATCATGTACATGTAGTATAACATGCATGCATTCTCATGACGTGGCAGGAGGGGCGACTCATTTTTAGGTCTCGAGTCGGTCGTGGTCGAGGGTAATGTCTATTGCATGGCCGTCATTTCTTTTGGCTCTGGCATGGCAATAAAGTGTAAGCGTTGCAGGTCTAGTTGTGCATAACATGATGCATGCTTTTGCCGTCCACATTCATGGTGCTGCGTGGTCTTCAAGGATGCTGGTGTCCTTCTATTATTTTCTCAAACACAATTCATGCGGCAAGTAACACGTTTGGATGAAATATGTACATGTACTCATGTTATGATAAGTGATAGTAAACTATCTGGTATCTATGCTCTATTATCCAACAGAGCCCCTCTCGTGATCCTGCTATCCCGTTATAGATGGGAAATAAGCAGACACAATACAGCAAACCATGAAACGTCCCGTACGCCCCGAAATCAATGCGTTATTCATGATGAAATCCTAGTCTTCAGGGTGTCTACCATCCACCGTGGTGTCCTCCGTGATGACCACCATGGTGACCCCCGTGATGGCCTCCGTGATGACCTCCATGATGGCCATGATGGCCATGGTGTCCATGGTGACCGCCATGATGCGAGGGCGGAGGGCCGTACGGGCTCGAGTGTCCGCTGCCGTGGTGGCTGCTACCGCCGCCGATTAGACTACCCACGCTGCCCAGCAGCCCGCCCGACGAGTGATGGCCGCCGTGATGGCCGCCGTACGGGTCACCACCGCCGTGGTGCCCGTGTTTGCCGTGGAGCTTGTGGGAAATGACATTGGCAGCCACGGCGCCGGCCGCGCCGCCCAGAATGGTGCCCAGTTTTCCCTTGCCCAGCTTGTTGCCTAGAAAGGCGCCCGAGCCACCGCCAATCAGCGTGGAGCCGAGTCCCTTTTCGCCGTCCTGCGCGTTGCTCGGGTCGGTGGGGTCCCTGTAGCTTTGCTGCTGCTGCTGATGCTGCTGAGGATATTGTCCGTACGAAGACGGATCTGCCGAGTGTGGTCGCGCCGGTGGGTACGGTGAGCCCGACTGTGCGCTGGTCGGCCGAGAGCCGTCGTATGCGGGTGGATAGTCCGAGTGAGCGGAGCCGGGACGCGCGTACTGTGGTTGCGAAGGGTACGGCGCCAGATATTGCGACGACTGCGGCGCAGGAGATGCGTAACTTGGTTGTGAAGGGTAAGGCGACGATGCGTATTGTGGTTGCTGCTGTCCTCCAAATTGTGGTTGTCCGTACTGCGGCTGCGACGGATAGGGCGACTGGCTGCCGCCAGACCCAGAAGTACCATAGTAATCCGCTGCTGACATTGTGGTTTCTGTTTTGTTTGGCGGGTGTAAGAATAAAAGGTAAAATTTATTTCTGCTGCCTTTGAAGAGCAGATAATCCGAAAGAGAAGCAATGGGAATAAAGGACTTTTCGTTCCCTTTTGGAGCTGGTTGGCTAGTGTTGTAATGATGTGTGTGGTGGTCACTAGATTGTACTATCAAGTGACTGATGGGGAGTTTATTGCAAGTGCATCACAAGAACAAAAGCAGCAGCGGTCGCTGAAGGAGACCAACGCAACCTCTTATAGACCCAAACTTACCTCGGATTTTAGTCGCATTTACCGAGTCTTAGAATTCGAATACGCGTATGCATAGAATAATTCTGATTGCCGCAGCAGCGCTTACGCAGCTGGGCGGAGAGGCTGAGCATAGTTTGACGGCACATGTCGTCGTCCTTTAAGGAATCAGCTTGCTCAGCAATAGAAAATGGCTTGGAGTGGCCCGAGTGCGGAATGTCCTAGAGCCGGGGCCTCGGGGGCCCCTTTGAACAATGGCTTATTATTCAATGGCTGTGGCGGATTTTCAATGGATGGGGCTGTGCCGTGGCCGACATTTAAACCCGGCCATTATTGGAGTGCAATCCGCGGCATGCCGAGGTCGCTACACCAGTGAGAGCACTAATTGGCCGATGTCGAATAGTCTGGATAGCTTTGTGAACGAGTGGGGAGAGGGCAATGCCGTCTTCCGATTCCAAAATATTGACTACTGTATACTATGTCGCGATAACAAAGCAAACAAACAATATTGCAAGCATAATCCCAGTGCAACTAAAGTTTTAGTAGACAAACCAACCAACACCTGACGTCTCTAGCAATGTTCCCAAATACTGGTTGTATACAAAGCCATATAGACGTTGCCGTGGCTTCACTTGATAGATATACATATAGTCACATGAATGGATGAATGCGCCTTCAAGGACAAACAAATATACAACAAGAACGGGAATGTGTTTGATCGATGTGAGACATTCCATTGTGATTGAAAGCAAGGGATGGCTTTTCAAAAATCCCGAGGTTTCGGGTCTTTATATATATACAGCCCACCAATCTCCTTCATGGCCATCCCTCATCATTTCATGAACTGCACCAAAACTGTGCGCCAAACGCCACATCGCATATTGTGCGATTCCCAAACCGTGAATGATAAATGTCAATGCATCATAATCGTAAGTAGGTATGCCAAATCACACGCTCCGGCTAATATGAAAATGTCGAGATTTCAATGCTTGAGGTGACCTCAAAAAATTGAAAGAATATGCTGCTATAAATTCCGGGAATATCATCATTGCATTGGGTAGGCCCCTGAAACAAGGAACATGCCGAGGCAGGTGTGTCGTTGTATAGTTGAATCGTCTCCATACATGAGAGGACAGAAGGCATACTGGCCTCAAAGGCTCGCAGCCCAAGAAAACCTGAGACGCCCTGATTCTCAGCCTGCTGGTAGAGAGATCTCGCTTTCCGAGTCCGAACTATCATCTGCAGCCACCCGATCGAGCATTCGTTCAATATCGGCATCTTGTAGCTGTGGTCGCGGCCTGGATGGTGCGTTCAGTCCAGCAGGTACGGATAATGATGGTCGAGATCCGCTAAACGTCTTCCGCCGTGGTGTTCCCCGAGGCGATGCATAGTGGTCATCCACGTCCATTTCGCTGACCCTACCCGGCGATTTCTCAAAACCTACACGCTTTCCAATCGAGCCGTGGGCATGGTGCCGTATTGTTGGCAGGGTCTTTCGTGGTTGGCTATTCGGTGCTAATCTAGATGTAGGAAGAGCTGTCCGATGTGCCTGAATATTGTTGGGTCCTTGTTGCGCCGAAGACGGTAACGCATGTTTCATATTCGCCGAGTTGCCCGGACTGCTCATGAACAGGAGGGTTTCCAGCGCTTCCTGCTCGCGGACGTTCTGGTGTGGAGAAAAGACCATTTGATCGACTTGCGGTGTCCTCAAGGTAGCTGTACCAGGGGTACTTTGAAGGGGACTTGGCTGAGCCGGGCTGCGAGGCGAGGCTTGGTGGGAAAGGTAAGCCGGAGTGTGTCGCGCATTTGAGTTGCGACGCGGGTTGAGATGACCGGACCGTCCTGGTTGAATAGCGGCTGGAGGAGCCAGCATAGAGGCTTGTGAAGCTGGCGGCGAAACAGAGTGGTTCTGAGGTGCGACGTTCGTGTCACGCCAGAATGCCTCGTTGGCACGTCCTTGCGATGCTTGCAAGCCAACTGGACTGATACCTGCGCTCTGTGTTCCTTGGCGCATTGCTGTCAATGATAACCTGGGGCTTGGGTTTGCGCCAGGCCGCCCATGTATAGTCGATGTGCTAGAAATCGGCGAAGCAGCTTGCGACGCAAGTGACTCTACTTCGTCGATAGAATTGCTTTGCCAGCCATGGTTGACCTTCATCATGGCATATGACAATTTCGCTTTGAGTTCAGCCGAGAGCTAAAGCCTCGTTAGACCTGTTGCCATATCCAGTTGTGCGAATCAATGACATACCTCGCCAATGCGACTCCCGGTTGTGGAAGTCGCGCTCACTGTGCTCGTATTCCTAGAGTGCCCAGACGCGCGAACAGGAGAAGTACTCATACTGTCTCTGGTATATTTGACCGCACCATCCGCCGTCCTCTTTCTTGACTGAGCGGCCTCGGTCATCTTTTCCTGGGCAGCAGCTAGTTCTGACAACTGAAATAACTGTGATTCCTGACTTGATCCATTTCCATTGGCATGCACCGGACCACTACTTGCGCCGCTATCGCTCTCTGGTGGGGTGAAGACGCGGTCGCGGTCGCTATCGTGGGTTGCGGTCGTTTCCTGGGACTCGTCATTACTGGAGTCATTGAGCTGCTGCTGGGCTGTGTTGTTGCGAGCAAAAGTTTCGCGAATGGCATCGGTCCGGAGCAGAGGATCCTGAATGCCCCTCACATCCCCGAGCGACATGTTGAAAGAGTAATCCCCGTCGCTGGAAGGTTCAGCGAACGAGTTGTTGGAGGGGTGGTCACGTTATGGCAATTAAAGGTGGGATGCCAGAGCCCGAACAAGGAAGCCGTCGCGTCGGCGTCGCTGCGGGCCGCGAATGTACAGCCAGCAAGTAAGCAAGTAATGGCGGGCGGGTTTGATTGATAGTGGGCTGGCGTGACCACACCAAACTCTGTCCTTTGGCTGCGATTGAGAAGGAGGAAAGAAGAAAAAGCAGATCAAACTCGATGCACGCCAGAGACGAAGAGTCTCGTATCTGCTTCGTCTTGATCTTCTTTCACTTCGGCAGGTCCCGCACGAGTGGCAGTGACTGTTACAGAAAAAGTGCTCGGCTTCCACTGCCAGATGCGGCTTTTCCTCTTTGTAGCGAGACACGCCCAACACGCGTCGGTGGCCAAAGCTAGTCGAGTCAAGGACCGTCCAATTGCTGCAATTAACACGTGCAGCACCGAGACATTGGAAAGTAGGAGAAGGAGAAGGAGGAAAAAGCAACTGAAGAAGACAATATAGGTATGCACGCACTTGAAAAGGGATCTACAAATGTAGGTATGGGCAAAGCAGTCAAAAGGTAGAAAAGGAATGATGAGATGCAGGATGCTGCTTCTTCTTCTAGGGAATAGCAACGGATGAATCCCAGTGGTTGGTAGGTACAAATAGGTACCTTGGTAGAGAGCGGTAGGTGCTTAATAGTCTGGTAGTTGGGCGGGAACGTCTTGACCAGGGTGCCTTGATTACACTACAACTACCACACTACAGGCCCTTTCGCTCACTCTAAAAATGAACCCAAAAGGCTGCCATTTAATATCATTACTGATGCCTGCGCGCGACGGCGCCACCCAAACGCGTTCCGTTGTTCAAGCCATGAAAAGTCGCGACTCACTCCTCCCACAGACGGCGGATGACCACGAGGAACAATTGAGGCTGCTTACCCGGCAGACATGCCCTCTGGCTGACGCCTTGATTTCTCACCTCTTGTCCAGCCGCCACCGTCATCATCATCAACGGGGCTTTGTTACAATGCTCGAGGCGCGGTCGATCCAAAATTTCATACATTGGATTGGATGATTCGCATCTCTTTGCTCTTGGCGCCATCTTCTATGGAACATTCTATGAACCATAAAAGCGCCAATTCCTGCCAGACCTAGACCTGGGTTCCAGACAAGAAAAACACAAAACGATCAAGTGAAAAGGCGATTATTGTGGTTGGCGTTGTACATGCGCCTCTTGCTGCTGAGACGCTTCCTTGGTTGCCTATCGCTTCGCCATATCCATTTAATAGGCGAGTAATATGTGTTCATTAATACGCGCTTCAACTTTCATGCATCGAGGATGCATTGCATTGTTTCTCGTCTTCTTTTGCTCTTGTTGCCCAACAATTATCGCTGTTACTGACCATTACGCAATTTTTTGGGACCCTGGTCTCTTCCCACGACTCGTGCATTCGAGTCAAGTTTGGTTCAGTTGGATTTCGATGCTGGCACCACTTGGGGCGGGACGGGCGCTACCAGGTACATACATGCCCAGGCCAGAGAGAGAGGAAAATAAATAATTTCAAAAATTGCGAATTTAGCGCATCGGCGACACGCATGACGCTTGGACCATACTAACACGAGATCACGTGCAATCAATTAAACTCTTCCGAGGTTATCCACAAGGTGAGATCCACCGAGTTGTGCAGTTATACTACGGATACACAACTATTATGTTGGCGTACTCTACGAGATAACTTGGTCTTTATACTTGACCAGCCACGAAGCAAATTGGTATTCGGGCAATAACATTTATGAAATGACAATGAGATTCAAATTTCCAGGTATGACTGAGAGATCTATCCAGGCCATTGCCAATTGGCAAATCTTGGAAGACTACAGACTTGAGACATGCTTGTCAACCACGCGCACTTGGACAATTCATTAAAGTCACTCCTACCTGTAGTCAGCAAAGAATCTCAACACAACCAATCTTTCCCTATCATCATAGATCTCGAGATGCGGCGGGCAAGGTACCTTTTGCGTCTGCCATTGCGAAATCTGATATGTATGATTGTCTTAATCTCGTCTGCAAAACCAAGAGACCTCCTTGTAAGTTCAATCAAGAATAAAGTTTTCATACTACAGAAACTCTGCCTATGTATCAGTCAATTATATTATTCATGCTGTCATTATTTTCAGAAGTCTTGGCCAAGTAGCGATGGGCGTCAATTCAAAATACAATCGCCCGCGCATACTTATTATATGTGTTCAACTCCTGTATGCCGAGGTCTTTCTATGAAAATTTGCAATCCAACTATCATTGCAGCTCGTGCAAAGAAACCCCTTCCCTCAAGGCTCTAAATGATGACCCATGGTCATATCCTCGGGTCTGGCAAGAATGTCGTCGCAGTATCACCCCTCTAGCTCCGCGATCGAAGTCATGGCTCTCTGGTTGAGCCGTTCACGCCCAGCGGTCTCTGGGCTGCATGCAATGCTAATATGCTGCGGGCTGGTAGCGATTGGTGACCAATACTGGAAGTCTCGGTGCGAAGGTTGCACGCTGTCCGTGCTATATCGGCTTGAAGAATAATCCGAGTAATTGCCATGACGATCTGGGTTATATGCCTCAAATTGTTGTGAGGCCGAATTCACCAATGATTTAATGGAATGGGGGTGCGATGCAGGGGATACAGGTGAGACGGGAGACACTGGTGACACGAAGGCTCTGGTATTGTGAGCATCCTCTGTTGCGAACGCTTCCCGTTGTTGCTCGCGAATATAAGGTCGATTAAATGCCAGAGACTGTGAGTCCATCGCCGAGACTGGAGGAAGGGCGGTTCCAGTCGGATCCATGTTCTCTGGCCGATTAGGACTTTGCGTGCTCGCTATAAGCTCCTCGTCCTGTTCTTTCCTGCGTTTATAGCGGAGAATCAAGAACGATATAGCCGCAAGCACCATGATTGCGAATACCCCTAGGCCAGCAGACATGCCTATGATCTCTCTTGTCGACAAGGGATCCTTATTCGCCGAGGTCGTAGGTATCAAAGGCGCTGCAGTCGCCGAATCTGTAGGGCTTGTAGAAGAATTACCTGCAGGCGTAATGGTTGGTGAGGTAGTGCTGAGAATCGGTACAACTGAATCAGTTGTCGGCGACGATCCTGGCAAAGAGATAATTCTACCCCCGCGGTGGGCGGGTAGAGATGCGGTTGGAGTCGACTTCGCAGAATATACCACAAGTGGTGGATTAATCGGCTTTTCGCATTTGCACCCTTTGGTAAAGGTAGTGAGATGATCATCATCCGGCTCAGGGCAGCCTGCCCAAAATTCGTTCTTGTCGTCATCACTGGTCTCACAGCGAACGAGCCCCACCCATTGCTGATTCGAGTACGCGCCTTTGTAGGGACAAATCGAGACATTTTCATAATCGGGATCTGTGCAGCCGGAAGCATAATATTCGTTCCCTATCGCAGATTGTCAGCAAAATAGCCATGTCTAGGTGAGTCGGAGGGTAGTCAGTTGCATACGTTCTTGATTGAAGCAGAGTCCTCCTTCATTATAACAGAAGTCGCCGATGCCACAACACGACAAGATAATGTCCTCGCGGTATGCATTACCGCAAGGGATGAACGCATGGCTGGTCTTATTGCCTTGGCCCCAGTAACATGTGCCGTTAGAAATAGACGGGTCACCTTGTGCCATTTTATAAGCGCGGCTAGTGGTGTTTGTTGTTTGTCGCTTGTTTCGTTGAGACACTGAAGACAACGCCAAACGGTTAAGAGGATGAAATGGAATAGAAGCGTAAAAAGTGGTTGTGATTGTAGAGCTTGCTCACAAAACCAAAGACAAACACGACAGGTCTTTTGTCTCCACCAGGTCTTTAAATTGATGATAAACCTAGTGTGCAGCAAACTCGAGGAGGGAGACGGGAAGTTGCAGTCAAGAAGACAAATGATTCGAGCTTGTCAATGGAGCTGTTTGCTTGACCTAGGCGTTTGCCCATTGGGCAGAAAGTGCGAAAAATGGTGAGTGAGGTTGAGCTTGAGGTCCGAGACCAGGTCCAGTCCGATCAGGCAGATCATGTTATTTAATACTTGGATAATTGGTCTCTTGTGACAAGAATGCAAAGAGAATGGTAGCTGAATAACGTTTTTTTCTATTGCAAATGTTGCGATTCGCCGCAAGACATTACATGAGTCATGTTCAATGCGCATACCATGAAACTGAATAGCAATATTTTCTTTTGCAAATATTGCGAATCACCGCCCAACACCATATCAACCTCGCCTTGGCTGTGAATTAGCCAAAGTTTGCTTGCACTATTATTCATGGCAGCCCTTACCTGACAATGCACTCGGTGATTCGCGGACTTGTGTTTGATTGAAATACTTCACGAGGTATTCCAAAGTTCGTGCATTCATTATCTGGTAATTTGCATACATGGGACAATGATAACTACAAACACGTATCCAAATGTCATTGTCAATGTTAAGCAATAGGTAATCACAAACCGCAATGAGTTGTCTATGGTCAATAGGGTTCTGGGAGCTACTCTACTGAGTCTTGTGTATACAATTGACCCGAATGAAGTTCCCTCGACTCGCTGTGCACCACTTGTTATGCAACTTGTCTTGCCTTGAAACTTGCCAGATTAATCCTATTGGTTATTTCCTTAGCGTGCCTTCTTCATTTGGCATTTTCTTCCTACTGACCCTTGCTGCCTGCAAGGCAGGCGTACATAGTAGATCCAATTGACCCCGCATCAGCTTGCCAATTAACCAAGCAACAGACAAGGGAATGAAGAAAGAAAAAGCAATGATTGACATGCTGACGTTGACCTGGAGTCGTGTCCTATCTTGTCAAACCGTCCAAACTTCTCCTCTTCACACTCACTGCTGTATCGCAACAATGCCTCCCACCGAACAAGCGCCATCAACGGTTCTATCAAGGGCAAGGTGCTATTGTGGCTCTCTTGATTATGGCGTCAGCCTTCCTCGCGAGATCCTGCCTCTGAGTGCCTACATCTGCCACTGCAGCCGTTGTCGGTACATCCATGGTGCCATCTCCATCACTCATGCAACGCTCCCCAAAGGCAGCAGCCTCAAGTTCTTCGAACCGTCTAGCTTGGCCCTTTGCGCTACTCAATATCGTCCCCAAGGCAGCAAGTATTATCACTACTTTTGCTCCACATGCGGATGTCATTTAGGTGGCCGTGATGAACATGAAGACGTCTGGTACCTTTCAATCGTACTCTTTCCGTATGACGAGAGCGTATTCAGAATTGACAAGCATTGTTTCACCGCTTCTGCTCCAGGCGGCCTCCACGAATGGTTACCCAGTATCGCCGATCGGCCTCTAGATATCATGAATCCCGTACAAGATACGCACAATTCTCAAGCTTACAAATCCGAAGTAGGTAGCAATGGCAAAGAGCGACTGCGAGCTCAATGCGACTGCGGCGGCATCTCTTTTACCATACAGAGGCCAACTCAAGAAGTACTCGAAGATGCATACATGCGAGGCTATGTCTCGCCCGAGGACCCCACAAAGTGGAAAGCCATGACGGATGCTTGCAACGACTGCCGCCTAATAACTTCAACCGTTCTATCTGCCTGGGCATATGTGCCATTGAAGCTGATTGAGCCAAGGATTGGTCCAGACTTGATGCACGGAACGATGAAGTCGTACATTTCATCGCCGGGATCTCGAAGGACGTTTTGTAGAGTCTGTGGGGCCACCACATTATACTGGAGCGACACACGGCATACAACGGACGATGATCATGTCATCGGTATCGCTATTGGACTACTCAGAGCTCCAGAAGGAATCAACGCCATTGGCTGGCTCACTTGGCGCACGGCTGAGCTCGGATGGCTGGACGCAGGCAGCGAGTACGCAAAATCGCTATATCATAGCCTCAACCAAGGCCATCAAGACTGGAGTATCAGAGCATTCGGCCGTCTTGTTGATTTCAAGCTCCCAAAGCCAGATGTATCCACAGATTGAAAATGCATCTCTCAATACTCTCTATACACTTCAAATGCTCATTCCCAAAAAAAAAAAAAGTCAAATTGGAGAAGGTCAACGCGGTTCTTGGTATAATGAACTATCAACAAAAGCAAGCTATTAAAGGCATATTGGATCAAGTGTGTCTTTTGTTCGTCCGGTACGATCCGTTTTCATATTTCGTTCCCTTTTTTTTTAATTCCTTGTTCGCATAAAGCTTACGCGGCACTTGCAGTGACGGGTCCAGTATGGTAGGCATATGTACCACGCTTGAAACGCTTCTCCTCCAAAAAGTCCAGGGGAACACCTTTTTGCACGATTGGCGACATGAGGACGTTGAGAGAGGTATTGTCACCCTTGACATACGGAAGCAGGTACTGGTCGGTAAATCTCCACACGGGATTGTTCCATGCAACAAGTCTTGTGTATAAGCCTGACACTTCCACGGCCTCCTTTGAGTTAGACAACCGAGCGGCCTGATACTCGCCGAAGACGCGGCTGAGCGTAGCCACATCTGGGTCTGGTGTCTGCTTGAGCTGGGCACGCAGTCTGTTTACGAGCTGCGCCACGCCCTGGAGGCCACTGTTCATGCCGAATCCGGTGTTGGGCGTCATCTTGTGGACAGCGTCTCCAACCAGCACGGCACGACCGTCGTGCCAATTCTTGACGATGCCTTCTTCGAGGTTGGCCAGCACTGACCATTGCTTCTGAGCCCAGATGTCACCCCAGGTCACGAACTCGCCATCTTTGCCCGTGGGAAAGCGCACGTCTGCGTACTTCTTGGCAAGGGCATTGGCATCTTCCTCGGTGTACCGAGTTCTTTCACGAGTCGGCTTCGGGAGACGCTCGTACACCAGGAAGTGCTGTTGTTGTTCAGCAACAATGAGCTGGATGGTCAGATTGGCACTGTGCGTCTCATAAAGAGTGGCGGGCTCAAGCTCTGGCGACCGCTTTGCATAGCCATAAAGGCCACGATAAGAGGACATGAAAGGGTCCTCGGTCTTGCCTGAAGCCTCATTGACCAGTCTGCGGACACTACTGTGCACACCATCGGCGCCAATGATGATCGAGGCCGAGTGTGTGGTCTTGTCGGCACACTACGAGTATTCATATTAGCGAATTGTCATCATGAAGACACACCGGGCACCCCATGATGAGAGAATGACATCCATGCATCAAAGAGTCATGTTCTGCAGGATCAGAAGGGGTACCGTATGACAGGCCCCACTGGTGAACTGTCATGAGGAATGGCGGAACTCGCGCAAGACTCCAAAAAGTTTAACTTACTGTCACTGTGACACCATTGGCTGTATTCTCGATTGAGACAACCTCCTTGTCCAGCAAGACTTTTGATGGGTCTGGAAGTCTCTGGTATAGCATGTTGATCAACTTGGCGCGGTGGAAACACATCCAAGGATGGCCGTGACTGTTGCGCGCACCTACGTCAGCATGGTTTTAAGCGAGCTTTCCAGGGGTGCTTTTCTCCTTACTTAATACCAATGGCCTCAAACATGTTACTTTTCGACAGTACGGTGCCGTCCCGTCTCAAGTTCCACTTGTTTAGCACAGGCATGTAGGTCTGCTCTGCCTCTTCATACAGACCTAGCTGGTCCAAGAGGCGCACATTGTGCGGCCAAATGGCCACTGAGGCGCCAGAGTCAGTGTCAAGAGCCTTGCGCCGCTCTAGGATGATATAGTCGATGCCGGCCTGGGAGAGGGCATGCGCCGCTGTCAAGGCGACAGGGCCACCTCCCACGATGATGGCGCGAAAGTTCTCGGGCTTTTCAGCAGCCATTTGAATGGTTATGTCTGGTATGTGAAAAATATGCGTGAACAAGACAAACTAGAAGATGCTGCCTCGTGGCTGACTATCAATAAGAGCGACGGGAGTGCCTTTCTCCTTTTCACTTGTCTGTCGACACCAATCCCTGACAGATGCTTAAACCGAGGGAAGAAAAAAAACCGATTGTGGTTCGACACGTATAGGCCCTGGCATCGAGACACATGGTCCCAGGGAATAAACGCCTCTTTGATGGAGCCCCTGATATCAAGTGAAAAGCTAAGCCGGACAAAAGCCGCAGACAGCTAACGGTCCAGCCTATTCTCGAGCTCATGATAGAAGTTGACTGACGATGCCCTGGCAATTTCCTATCCGCAGACCACGATAGCCAGTCTCAGGTTCAGGCTAGAACATGGAGGCTAGACTACTAGTTGCATGTGCAAGGGGCAAGCTACTGTTGGTATGATTCTAGAGATACACTCTCCACTTATAAATGTGGCTCACTAATATCCCATCGTCGTGCTATTCGCACACTGCATAACCCTTGTACTTGGCGTAGTGGAATTCGGACGCGAAAGATTTCGGCCGCAGCCCATCGGAAAACACCATCACGACAGGGGATGCAATTGCAGGGGACAAGTACTTCTGTACACTATGGAATACGGATGGTTCCGCACATGCAAACAACATCGTGCTGATTTCTTGCGATACAAGCAAAATCAATAATTCAGGAGAAAAGAATTGGCAGACACAAGATTGCTCCCTCTCCTAATCAGGATCCGAGAGCCTGGATTCAATTCCACCAGCCGCACCTAGCCGCAGACGGATCTGGATCTTGAACTTTTTTGAAGAATCATTGCTAAAAACAGGCACCGAATCTGTTAGCAGCATGTTGAAGTTGGCAGTAAAACAACCTAAATGGCCCGCGGATGAGATCTTAGAGTAGAAGCTATGACTCGTGCTGCGCGGCCCCGACTTGATCACGATAATGGATCCATTGTTCTTCCCGCGGAGGTCGGTCCGTCAGCACAGATTTGGGACCGCCACCGATAGTGCCAACCTATTTCTGCGGTATCAATTTGATCAATTTGAGGTTTTCAAAGCTTCTCCTCAGGCCTGCCTATGGAGCCACCCTCCTGCACATCCTGCCCACTCTGTCTGACGACTCCCTCCCTGGTGGCCCTCTGGCCCTCTGGCCCTCTGGCCCTCTGACTTCCTGGCTTTTCACTGTCTGGCAGTGTTGTACCTGATCAGAGATCGTCGCCATGATCAGAACATGGATGGCGGATATCGCGTAAATGTAGTGGAGCCCGCGTGGCCTTTGCCGACTTCATACGAGGCAGAGACATCAATTGTTTTCGAATCCCAAGTTCTTATCAAGAGTGTGTATCATGCCGAGACGACAAGACTAGAGACAAAATTAGGCAATATTCCATCTGCAAAACTTGGAGACCATGCCCTACCCTTCCTGGATAGACTATCAGCCCGTTGTCCGGACATATTTGCAGTGAATAAGGCGGCGTACCGGTGATGGTCCCTTTTCATATGCAGAGCGTTCTAAAAGGAATGGTCCGACGGTCTACTGCACTAGGGATCCTAACCTGCCTGTCCCGACTGGATGGAGCACCGTTGCATTTCCCAAGACGCGGACGTATTTGGTTACCCAAAATGGACCGTAGTCTCATGGACCACGTTCTGAACTTGCATTCCTTGGTAAGCAGTTCGCCTCGATCCAGGGTAGAGCCGTCCAGAATCCGGGCGCCTAGGGCCAGGCACGGTTAGGTCGTCGAATCCGACCCTGAGCTACGATGTTTTCGGGACTGTTTTTGACAATCAACCAGGGTTCTATATTAGAGACAAGGTTGTTCTCGAATATGCGGAGCATAGATTGTGGACGACGCCAGTCTAAAGAAATTCTGCCCACGGCATCCCCAGGGTCGGATTCCATCGTGGTTTACATCTGCCGCATCTGCCGTGCATTCGGTACCATAAGCCCGCAATGGTGCCCCCCCTCCCAAACCCGCACAGCTGTTCGAGATTGATCATTAACGGATCTGTCACTGCTCTCCAGATTTCGTGATCCGATTTACTCTCTCCGTCCGACTTATACCTGCTGGATCATCATATCACCCCAGATCATGCTTGTTTTGAGTTCTTGAGTCGATCATACCAGTCGAGGAAATGGCTTCCCTAGTTCGAAGTTTATGGCTATGGGTTCTGGCTCTGGCAGTCGTACTCGTGGCCGCAGAGGTTCAACCACGCTCAGGCAGCTTGCTTACAGTCCTTACGAGTCTTGAGGATGAACTCCCATCGTGTGCGGTGCGTTGTCTTGAAGGGAATGACGTTCTGCAGAGTCACCAATACTGACAAGACTACTCCAGTATACGTGCTTCTCTACGCACGCATCCACGCGGAATTGCAGTACCGTCGAAGAGTTCATCACCTCCGATGTCACGACTTGCTTGAACTCAGCATGTACCACACATGAGTACCTATGTCAGTCAATGTGCACCTTAGTGTCCCGAACCAGTAACTCATGATAAACCAGCCGCTGAGAAGCTCATCACTACAACATGCGGTACCGTAGAGCGGAACACTCAAGCTTCGATTAGAGCCATCGCTTGGACACTATGGGCCTTCGCTACCTTCTTCCTTTCAGGGCGCTTGCTCGCCCGCACCGCGTTCTTTGGCGGAATGTCCCTCGGCTGGGACGACTGGGCCATTGTGCTTTCTTGGGTAGTGCTTACGGGAGTTACTGTTGGAGCCGAGTTGAGTATGTTGGATCTCAAAACGATGCCCTTTTCTCTGTGCAGATACTGACTTGTACCAGTGGTTGTCTTTGGCCTCGGCAAAGATATGTGGACTCTTGACGATACGCACATTAACATTGTTTTGATTGTAAGTCCACTGGCTGCAAACACATTGCTTTCATATAGACTTGTGCTCATTGATCCGACAGCTCTTCTACGTTGCCGAATTTGCCTACGTCATCGAGTCGACCATTACAAAAGTTTCGATCCTTTTGTTATACCTTCGCATTTTCCCCGATCGCCAGTTCCGAAAGCACATTTACGTTCTCATGGGCATCATGGCACTATTCTGCGTTGCCTTTGTTGTCACCCTGCTCACATATTGCATGCCATTCGCCTTCACCTGGGAGCGTTGGGATAATCAGAAGACGGGCACATGTATCAACATGAATGCTCAAACCTACACTTGCGCGGCGCTCAACATTGTTCTCGATCTCATCATTTTCTTCATCCCCATCCCACAACTGTAAGCGCGGAATGCATACGTTTTTTTCGAGAAGACCTGTTAAATGCTGACCAATTTGATTAGCATGAAGCTCGATTTGACCCTGAAGAAGAAGGCGGGTATCATTCTTACGTTCCTGGTCGGCCTGTTTGTCACCATCTGCAGTATGATCCGCCTGAGAGCCTTGATTGGGTGGACGGAGAGCACAAACTCAACAATGGACTTTGCCAAACTCGCCGCCTGGTCGCTTGTGGAGCTCGACGTCGGCGTCATTTGCGCCTGCATGCCGGGAATGGCCGGCCTATTCAGACGCCTCAAGAAGCGCGGTACCGATTATATCCGGTCGAGATCCAGCAACAACGCCTCAATGGCGCTCGACACATTTAATGGCACCAAGGGAGGAGGTCCCGCTATCACAAAGACTACCATCATCTCGGTGAAGCGAACACACCACGACAACGACACCAACTCTGTGGGCAGCGAGTCGGAGCTCGAGCTGGTCGACAAGTCCAAGGGGACGTACAATTATTCTACACGCCAATTTGGGAACTCCATGGTATAGAAACAAAAGAATTGCTTTTGGAGGGTTGCGCAACCAGAGCAAGCCACTCCTGTATAAACTGGTATTTATTTGCGTATCACATCAAGCAAAAAAAGCATAAAGCGATAGAAACAGCGAAATCATAATTGAGCGAATTGAATTTCGATAAATCTGCTATATTCTGTATTCTTGCACCGCCGCTTCTCTACTACGTCTATCAAAGTCCATGAAAGTGTTTGAATTGCGACATCTTTTTCCGTACATTGTCAAAGTTCTATTTGGGGGCGGCTAGCCTTCACATACGTAACAAGGTTTCGTTAGCGATATTAAAAAACTACAAACCATTGCTCAAAACGGACTTGGTTCCAACGGCTTGCCCGGATGCTGCTGTCCAGGGTTTGGCGGGTGACTGTCTTCCGCAGAAGAAGGAAAGAATAAAATGCACGTGGAGCTTAATGATCCCTTCGGAGAAAAGGCACGCCAAGAACTAGGGGACCTTTTCGACGGCGACGACGACGACGACGACGACGAAACGGAAGGACTTTTTTAGAACAACCGAGATGAGTAATCTATATTGACGTGATGCTATGATATGCATGTAATCTATATTTATGCCAAGAAGGGGGGCCTGGTACTATGAAGCACAGGTGCACGCGGAAAAAATCACCAATCAAATCGTCCATTCCTAATTGGTCAGATTGCCGAGTCCTGTCAATGCAGACCCTGGGTCAAAGAAGATGAAATGTCAATACTACCTTTATTTCGTATTCACTTTGATTTGTTTGAACCCTTTCTTTCCCCCCCTCTTTCTTATTTTACTCAGCATGCCTCAATTAGACATCTATGCTTGTTCGGCGTTAACAAGAAAAACATGTTCGGATTCATCTCGTCGTCGCTGAAACCTTCGAGTGACGAGACCTGAGCGTTGGGAAACGTTGTAAAAAAGCGAGCAGTCGCCAGCCTGAGCTCCATGCGAGCGAGGTGCAATCCCAGACACACTGAGACAAGCAATTAGTATATGCTCATCAAGAATATCACAACAGGGATGATAGCAAAAATGGGGCGGTGGGCGGAAGGCAACCTTACCTCGACTGCCGCCACCAAAAGCCAAAAAGGCATCTCTCATGTCCTTGGTCGAGTCCTCCCAGCGCGACGGGTCAAACCTGTGCGGCTCGGGAAAGATGTCGGGATGTCGGTGCATGCTCCAAGCCTGCGCCGAGACAATGGCGCCGGGGGGCAGGTAATGACCAGAGAGCTGGGCGCCGCCCGCGGGCACGACTCTCGGGAGCCCCGACGGCGCCGCCGGGTACAGGCGCAGCGACTCCTCAATGACCTGGTTCATGTACGGGAGGGTCTTGACGTCGTCATAGGCGAAGCCGTCGGGGAGCGTTGCTAGTTCTGCGAGGAGACGGGCTTTGATATCGGGGTGTCGACATACCAACCAGACGAGGTAAGTCAGAGTGTTGGCCTGAGACCTCAAAGTTAGCCCGGAGCAAAAGAAACATGACAGTCTTGAGAGTCTGAATAGTGTCTTGCTCTTTACGTATACAAGAGAAAACTTACAGTGGTGTCTGAACCAGCGATTATGTATGCCGATGCATTGTCGCGAACCTCGAGAAATGTCAACTTATCGGTGCCCGCCAAGTTGTAAAGCTTTGAGAGCAGTGTCGGTTTTGCATCGTCGCCTTGCTCTTCAACAATGCGCTGGTGCCGCAAGATTGACTCATCAGCGTATCCAGTGATTCTGCGGCGCTTTGTCGTGGCCTCGCTGATAAAGGGAACGCGGACAAACCGAGCCAGTTTGACCAGAACCGGGAATGTCGAGATGATGCCACCAATTCTGGCAACGTCTTGTAAATTCTTGATGTATTCGCTCTTCTGTAGAGAGTATTAGCCTATTAAACCTTATTCACGACAAAATATTGTTTATATTGGAGTATCTTACCCCTCCAGTCTCCAGCATGTCGAATGACCGCCCAAAACTCAGCTCGCCAATGACATCGGTAGCCATGGAAAGAAACCAGTGAAACACATCCTATCATGATCTTGGTCAGTCTCCATCCAAATTCCCATCCAAACTTCACAAAACGAGGCTACTTGCAGTGGCATTGCGCTGCTGCATCTCCTCCTGCATACGCTGGATAGCCAGTCGCACCTTGGTCTCGACGACGGGCAAGTGTTTCTGCAGACTGGATTCGGACATTTCCGAGGACAGGAGCCGCCGCTGGCGCTTGTGAATTCCCGTGTCGCGGGTGGAAAAGACGCTGACCTGGCCGTTGGCCAGCTTGTCGTAAAACTCGGCCTTGAGGTATTCGCCCTTGACTCGGTACATTTCCCGCGTCGTGGCGACGTCCTGGAAGCTGGCCTCGGTTGGACTGATGCGAACGACGGGGCCTGATACGTAGCAAAGTAGGCTTAGGTCAATGATGGACTCTTGTTTGCAATGGTGTCGGTTCAGAGTTGTAACTCACCGTACTTCTCATGTAGACCTTGGACCCATTTAGGTCTCCGACCCTTTACTACATTCCATCTGTAGGGTACATCGGTAAAGTTGGTTATCCAGTCACCGGGCAGCTTGGCCATTGGACTGCTCAAGACTGTGTAAAACCACTGCATATAAATGTCAACTCTGCAGAATTGAGACCAAAAAATCACGGACGAAACACTTACTCCTGCAACTGCCACGAGAATCGCGGCAGCTGGAATATAGAGATGATTGATACTTGAATCAATCATGCTGTTGAAGAGTATTGTTGACTATGGTTTAAGTATGCTGTTGATTGTATTCTGCGTTCATGTGAAAATGCTGCAATATTGGATATTTGAACGACAATGGAACTGTTAGGCATTATATGAAGGAAAGTTTGCCACGATCAACAACCTTCAATGGCTTCGCTTTGAGACGGCGTCCTGCCAAACCGACAACTCTACTATTTGCTTCTTTACTCCGGATTCGTATCTCCGCCGTTGCAGGCGGTCGGTCGGTCAGTTAGTCGACCGGCTAGTCAATCAAGGGAGTCACACACCGCACAATAATGAAGGCCAGAACCGCGGGCGGCGACTTGACGTGCCATGACATCAACGCGCCGTTTCCATTGTTTGCTGTTCATACTAAAATAACCATGGTCGGCACCCCTAATAGTGCGACAGTGGATCTAAGAAAGGTTCTGAGCCGGCCTACAAGAGTGCCGACAAGTCCGAAAAGAGCGGCCGCCCCCCTATAAACCTGCCTCCTCAATAAACAAGCCTGTTGGCCCCGCCTGCAAAATAGTATTCCAACCATTGCCAAGCAAGCAAAAACAAAGCAGAAATATACCTACACACAACTCCCCCTGTCGCTATGTTATATCCGAAAGCTGCGGGGCGGCTTTTATACAGTTTCATGGTGCGGCTATAGCTGACCAACTGCCGAGCCGAATAAACGCATTTATACTGCAAGGCCATCTCGATTCCCGTTCGGCTGCGAGACGCAGACCTTCGGTGCCGCGATTGTCGACTCCCCGAGCTCTCGTGACTCAAAAGAATAAATAAGGAGAAGCCCCTCCGACTTGCATATTAGGCGAGGCAATCTGGAATGCTGGACTATCTGTGCGTCCCATGTTTTAGCGGGGTTTTGTCTAGTAAACCGACGGTGCAAAGCACTATTTCTGATGTCAGATTTCCGTTCAGCAATGGTAGGACAATGACAAGACTTATATTGGTATAGATCATCATCCCTATCCATCAAGCATTGCATGAATTGGCTTGCGGCAGTGTCTTTGTTTCCGCGAGTCATTTCTCGTGCTCAAGTGATCTTGTTTGCCGTCAATGTGATGATTTCAACCATGTCCACTATAATCCAATGCAGAGAGGTATACAACCACACGCATGTAACCTGGCAATAGCCCCATGTGATTGATGCGATCGGTGAAATAATCCCTACGCGCCGAGTTACACTGTCGTTCGCGTTTCGGCTTTATACGCCTGTCCCTAAGGAGCTGATCAATTGGATATGGTTTTGTCCAATTTCCTTCTGCATCAAGACGCATCAACCATCTTGCGTCGTCCCCAGCAGCAAGGGTTAGTGAGACGAGAGTCATTGGTCGTGTGATTGTGAGGTAATGCAAGTATAAACCCCGTCAGTGCAGATGACCAGGCAGTTGTATACCATGGATCTGTGAGTATACATAGGCAAGTTCAAAGGGGGTCAGCAGAATGTATTATCATTCATGATTTCTAAAATATGATGGTGAAAAGATCAGTAACGCTATGCTATGTCGTATGCTTTTTTTTTTTTCCCGCCTCCTCGTCTCCAGCGTTGCAGTGCAACTACAATAATGCGCTGCATAATATTTGTGGGGTGTTATCTCAAAGCAATATTAGAGATGCAAAATATGCTCCATATTATGAGGTCTCGCTTGGCGCGGCACTTGCCTCTGTCTCCTCAATATCCTCAATCTCCGTCAGGCGCAAAGCATCTTTGACGTCATGCACGAAATGACGCTCTCCGCCAACTAGATCAACGATACCACTTCTTTCCAGTAGTTTCCAGACTTTGTGAGTCTTGCTAGGAGCACGGCTGAAGAACACGCGCACACCCTGGGAGCGGTAGCTTTGTACAATCTCTTCCAGAACTTGCGTTCCAGAGCCATCCAGGGAAGTGACACCGTGAATATCAAAAATGACATTTCTGTGACTGCCTTGAGGTCGTAATCGAGGCAGCGCAGGATGAGCAAGAGAAGTACCGTATCGTTCCAATCTTGCCAGTCTGTTCTTCAGATCACCCGTGTTGGCAAAGGTGAGAGGCTCAGGTATCTTGACAATCAGACATCCTTCAATGAACTCTAGGCGATCAGAATTCTCCTCTGCATTCTCAAAACGTTCTGTGCCTGGGATACGTCCAAGAATTTGGATTCTTGGCCGAGTAGCATGCCGAATGACCTGTAGAAGCGACAAGCCAATTCCAATGGCAATGCCCAGGTTGAGTGAGAAGAAAACGGTGACGAGAAGAATAACAGCCATGAGAGAAAGCTCTGTCCAGCCTCGAATACGTAGAAAGAAGGCCACATCATGGGGGGCTTCCTCGATCAGCGACCATGCCACCACTGATATGAGTGCTGCGAGGACGGGTTTCTGTTGTTCTTTAGTACATTGACTATTCACTGACGGTCGTCCAGAAGCAAAATGAGTACTCACGGGAATATAGTAAAACCACGGCAGCATGAACAAGACGCAAAAGACAGTGATGATGCTCAAAAAGATTGAACTCATTGGACTCTTGCCTCCAGTCGACTTGTTGACCTTGCTTCTTCCATAACCGCCAAATGCTGGAATAGCCATGAAGCATGAGCCAATAAGATTCGCAACGCCAAGGGCCACAAGCTCCCGATTGGGACTGAGCTGCATGCCCTCGATAGCATCTCCAGTTCCAAGACTCTTGGCTGCTACCGAGGACTCGAAAAAGCCAAGCATACCGATCAGGAACGAGGTGCCCATGGCCTCTCGGATATGCGCTATATGCGATGTTTGAAACGGATTGCGGAACTCAAAAACATTGGTGGTGCCGCCTTGAACATCGCCAAGAACGCCAACACCTCGTTCTTCCCAGCGCAACCTCCATGCCAGCAATGCTGATATAACAACAACGAGAAGTCGATCCGGGAAGAATGCCACGCTGGGATATCTTGGTTGGAGTCGTCTCTTGACCTCTCTGACAGGGGGTGAGAATGTTGACCATGGTAAATATGATTTAGAACGGCTTACCTCAGAACCATAATGATGGTAAAGCTGACAACTCCAATAATAGCCGAGAGCTTGTGGAGATCCGAGAAATGCGTGAACAAGAATTCCAACTTTTGCACAGAGCTGCCGTGACCGACGCCGGGTGTTCTCGCAGCGACACTAGAAAGGCCAAGGACAGGAATCAACTGATCGATGAAAATCACGACACCAATAGCAGAGATGAAGCCGCGCAGGAACGGTCGGCTAAGAACACTATCCAAGAAGCCCAGGCGAAACAAGCCCATGATGAAGACAGTAGCGCCGGCAATGCCAACAGCGACACCTGCGATCCGGGCGTGCATGGCGGCATTATCGTCATCGCCGCTCCCAGAATCAATGCTACTCTTGACTATCGAGCCCACCAGGAGAGACCCTGCAGCCTCGGGACCTACAACCATTTGAGGACAGCTACCCATCAGTCCATAGATGAACGGATTGAACACAAAGGCGTACAAGCCATTGATCGGCGGCACATGCGCCAAGCTATCTGCGTATGACAGAGCCATGGGCAAGTACATGGAGGCAAGAGTAATGGCTGCCGTGATGTCGCCCTTGAGCCACGACCAGTTGTACTGCCGTATCCAGATCAAGGATGGTACATAGTACGACAAGTACATCATCTTGGAATCCTTGAAGCCGTGCCTCTCGGCCAAGGACCGGGAGTTGGTCATGGTCTTGGTCTTCATCTTGCTGGACAGCGTCTTCCTCCAATTGCCCTTGGTAACCGATGCGTCGGAACCCAACAGCGAGCCGGCATCAGAGCCCCTGAAACTGCTGCCCACAGGACTAGAAGGTCGTGGTGAGAAGGTTCCGTGATCGCAGGGCCCCGGATGGGCGTGATCGTGGTGGAGCAGGGACGTGGTCTCCGTGGTTGGCCCCCCACTCGGCCCGGCCTCGGACGTCGATGAGTGTTGATCAGGCGTCGCCGATACATTGCCGTCGTTGCCGCTGCCGCCACCGACACCGTTGAACAAGGACGAGGACGAGGGCGTGTGACTCTTGCGGAGTGCACTGGGTGTCGTCGGTGCGTGATCGGTCGCCTGGCGCGACGGGGGAGAAGGTCGAGACGCCATTTGGCGGACGAAGGACACTTAGGAAGAGGTGCAACGAGCACGTGGTAGGTACGAGATCCAACGCAAGTGATTGATTATGGTTGCGACGAAAAGCTATATGCTGAGCATATCAAAGTATGTTTATTTTGCATATACACTCTTTGACCGCCAAGAATTGACTTTTTGGAAATGCGATGTTTTGATTTAATTTTTTTTAATGCCCGCAGAAACAACTAGGTAGGCCTATTGGCTGATGGTCGGTGCTGACCAATGCGCTACGAGCGTCTGGGTTAGGGATGACGGAGGTAGTCCCAGGGGTCTTCCAGGCCCCGAAAGAGCCTAGGAAGCCCCTCCAAGTTCATGCGCCATGGCTATAAGATACCCCGCAGACTCTATCATGTGGGGGGTCATTCGGCTATTCCCGAGATTCGTTGATCAAATCCCATCGAAAAGTCGAATTCCATGCCAACAAGGAAAGATAGAATCAAAGGAAAGAAAGATGAAACCAATTTTGTTTGCGTCTTCACTACCGGATAAATTTGAGTTGCAATTACCTATCGCTGCGTACAAAGCAGCAATGATTTCAAAATAAAACGTCAAGATCGGACACTAGGAATCTTGTATGCATGACGCGGAGCCTCCGATGCTATGGAGATATCGGTATGGTAGGTATCCATTCTGTATCGACTATCCTGAACCCACATCACAACACAACCCCATCTTGGGCTTGGCGACCGATTCTAATCTATATATCTATTCAAGTATTCTATACCTAAATACTGTTTGGATATCATGATTGCAGTGGTGCAAGGGCAAGCACTCTATTGACGGGTTACTTCCCTCACCATTCATGACTGAGCAATTCAGAGCTTAGTCTCGTCTAAGAGTAAGTTATAGAGGATTATGAATTTCGAACAATGCAGGTTGTGAAAGTATGATTCTCACGGAACAAGAGCAAAAGATTTATCAGCTTCACAGCGTTTCCCAATAGTTACCCTCTGGTAAATGTCTGGTGGTGCGGAGCATTCTGGTGATGTTCATTTTAAAATTCTTTCAGTATGGACGACTTTAATATATATTATTGGAATTCGGTGCCTTGTAATCTTCTAATCGTGTAAACTAGGTCATTACAAATAGACTCTTCCTTATAGCCATGACTCGTTTCAATTGACTATGCTGTCGAAAATCTGAATTAAAGGAGCACAATAATATGTTGTGTTCCATGCATAGCCAAATCGAGTCGAAAGTCGAGACTTTTCCTAAAACTTCACAATCTTTCCTAAACGAAAGAATCACTCTTGGGCCAGTATAGGAATATGACTCGCCAGCTCGCTTTCAATTTGACTGCTGCGAGCGAGCGGTGGTGCGTGATACTTTCGGACTGGTAATTGTGCTTCCGGTGGGTGAAGTTTTGCTGAAATATCAATCCAAACAGTACAACTCAAGCAGTCTTTTGACCAATTTGCACTACTGTAGATCTCAATACGAGGGTGCATGTTTTCAATTCGCGATGAGATCCCCAAGCACAAGTTTTGAGTCAAAATTTTGTTACTCTGTGGATGGACTTCTCATTGTCCCTGAAAATGGAAGGGGCTTAATCGTGCGTTGGCATGGCATAATCGCCCATCATACATTCCAAATTGGCGAGGTTGACTAGCTTGAATATCGCAGGCAGTAATCGGTTGTCGGTCAGCAAAGTGAAGCCTTGAGACCATCACATCATTTTGCTAAGCCTCGAAAAAACACCTCACCATATGAGCGTCAGGAAGCAGGTGTTTCCTTAGCGCTTAGTATAATAAGACATGAAGATTGAGCCTTTGTTGACTCTTGCTCTTGTCAGCGTTGCGCGGCAGGTCAGGGCACCTTTCAGACCCAGGGTGTCAAGAGGCGAAGTAAGTCAATGATGTGGAATCAGCGTAAAATGATGCGTAACACGGCAATTATATGGAAGAAGCATTTTCCATCTGCCTAGAAGACCACGAGTCAGAACGCCCGAGTGCCAGTGGTCATGGCTCCTCCGGGGGTGGCTGTGCATCATACCGTGAGGGGCGGAGCGCGAATAGACATCGCGGCAGATGCAGACGAATTTAGGCTGCCAAAAGAGAGACAGGGTTGCGGACCGATCAGATAAGCTGTAGAAAGGGAACACTTCTATGCACTCAATAAGCCTCCCTGGAGAAGTCGCGTGCAGGTACAACGGTAGTTTACTGTCATGGCCACGTGCCTCGGTAAGCCATTTCTTAGGTGCAGTTCTAAAGTGCATGTAGAAACCTCCATCTGATCAAGCCAAAGCAAACTCAATCAACAATTTAGATTTAGTAAAATGACTCAAATGTTTAGCAGCGAATGTGCTGTGCGACTGACACGTTGCTAAGTAAAATGCCACACCGGAGCTCCGGGATTCGCTCCGGATGTCCGGCGCCGAACGTGTGTATCACCTTACAATACGAAAATGTAGATTTATCATTAATATGCTTTGTCTAATCTGTCACACAAGAGACAACCAAGGATCGTGTAATTCTTCCGACATAGGGAAATTTGAAAGAATTTTGGCATTTCACAATGAAGATTCTCTGCCTACACGGCAAAGGTACGAGCGGAAGAATATTCAAATCACAAACTGCCTCTATGCGGAGGAAGCTAGAGGAGCTCAGCCCGGACACACCATTTGAATTCGATTACGTTGATGGTCCTGCACCGTCGACTCCGGCCCCAGACACACCGCTTTTTTACGATCCACCACATTATGCATTCTACGAGGGCACCGAGATCAAGGCCATACGCAGGGCACACGAATGGCTCAGCCAGCTCCTCGGGGTGCGTGGTCCCTATGACGGCGTGCTGACCTTTAGCCAAGGCGGCGCGCTTGTCTCGAGCTACATGCTCTACCAGCAGTGGTACGAACCCGAGAAACCTGCGCCCTTCAAGTTTGCTATGTTCATGTGCGGCGGCGTGCCCATCACGGTGCTCAGGGACTTGGGGGTGCCTGTCACCAAGGAGGTGGAGGAGCTAGACCTCGCCACAAAGCGACAGCTGCTGGAAAAGACGACGGCAGAGGTGACGAGGGACAGGTGGCAACTGACCGACTATGCCAGCGTGGTGCGGCGGGCGCAGTTCAACTCGGACGACTGCTTCGGACTGAATTTGAACACGATACCCCAAGAGCTGAAGATCAGAATTCCGTCTGTACACGTCTACGGTAGAAAGGATCCTAGATTACCGGCCTCGGTACAACTGGCTGGGCTATGTGATCCGTATATACGGAAGGTTTATGACCACGGAGGTGGGCATGAGCTTCCTCGAAGCAAAGAGGTATCAGAGGACCTAGCACACTTACTTCTATGGGGTGTACAAAGAGGTTCTTGGCCGGGACAGGAAGCACATATTACTTGACGAATAATATTTGTGCTCTTTAGAAAATTTATTAGTACTCAAAAGTCGCCTTCTTTCAACAATTCATCGTCACGGGCCCTCTGATGATGGCAAACATTGGAGCCAAGGGTTGCTTGAAATGGCCTCTCTTTCTTCTTGTTGAAGGTTGACAAGGTATATTCCCGGTAATTCTCAATGCCGAGCTAATTGGCATTATCGAAATGAGACAACAGGATTCATGTTTCGTAGTAAGCCAATGTCGCTGATTTTTGTGGCGCAGTATACGAATTTGCTCATATCCGACGCTTGGAGAAAAAGGCTATGGCACAATGAAAATCAGATACCAGTTCGGACCTTCCATTACTGTCTGCAAGGTTGAAAATTGGCAGACAATAATTCTCTTGCCAAGCTCGATAATATTGGTCAATACAGTGGCTTGTCTGCATTTGCTTACTCCAGTGACATGGATGAAGGGTTTAGGTTTTGAGGGGCCTTGCTTCCATACGAGGCTGAGCGAAGACGAAGCTCAGGGCATATTGACGTGTCCTTGTCTACCTGTTGATAGGATGTATAGCACGATCTTGCCCCATCATACTCTGCTGATTTGGACCTAACTGGACCGCCACGGCATATTCACAGCCTTGATCAACGCGGCGTACTGCCCAATGGCAAAAGACGATTGCAAAGACTGCCTGAAGCAATCGCCACATCAGAAATCCAGTGGCACATATCGCTGTGTCTTGATAGAACCTGGCAGAACGATATGTTGGTGGCTTTTATCCAGATCGGCTCTCGAGTACTACTTAGTAGCTGACAATCCGATCAAGGCGCAGCCGGGATGAGAATCCAGGTTTGATAGTCTTTCCACATTAGGCAAGCATATTCTTCGATGGTGTGGTGTCGATGAGAGAAGTGTGAAAAAACTATGCCACCGAGACAAGCACCGAGTGGCACTTATATCTCGGCACTCTGGGCAGTAACAAGCCGGGCGATTCCAGACCGGATCCACCAGGCGTCGACTATGAAACAAAATGCAAGCCAAAACATCAATATCGTGGCATAGCCACACTTGGCCCGGCGTTATAGACTGTAAAGAGCGCGGGGAGGCAGGGGAAGGCAGATCTCGGTTAATTAAGATCAACTTCCTTTTGCGGTGTTAGGCCGCCCTGAGAGACTAGCATAATCCAATCAATGGATTCCAAGAAACTGAACAACTTGTCATTCTCTCTTCGTCTGATGTTGGTTGCGATCGTTGCCCCATCCATTTGGGGCTCGGCATACTCGCGAGGCCACGACAAAATATATAACCTAGGTGAGTAGGGGGACCCACTTGACAGGGGCTCATTTATACAAGTTGTTTGTTGAATGGTGTCGAGTCTTCGATTTCGATCAACACTGAGTTTTCGTGGCCATTGCCCAGTCTGCCACGGGTCAAAATATGGGCTCAACATAATTGTCCTGGTTCTTTAGACATCTAGAACCGCAGCTTTTTGATACACAGTAACTGTGCCAACGGAATCTTCGGTGCGAATCCGGCGTTAAGTGCCAACGCAAATAACCTTATCTGGTTGACTTTCAGCCTATTCCGTTCAAAGCACAAGTGGCGTCATTGGCTGTCGCCCCAGTCGGCGCCCTCCCGTATGGGGCATTGCTAGTCATTCGCCTTCGCTTTGGGTGTCCCAAATTCTAGACCTGCTTTAACCGACGGAAGTCCTTGCACCCAAATCAGGACACCACAACCTTGATCTCCTGAAAGGGGAACCTAGAGAACGCATCTGGCCTTTTGGTTGCGTACCTACAGAGTACATGGCAACTCTGGACCTACAGGTCGGGCGTAAGAGTTGACATGAAGTCAGAGCAAACTGATACGTTGGGCAAAGGCACTCATTTTCCGCCTCGATTCACGACCAACAAATGACGACTTGTGAAAGTCACATTTCACCGCTGAGGCATTTCACAAGATGCCAAGCCAGGGCGAGTTGGCAGCTCCTTGTTGTAAGCCATGGCAAACATAAAAAGACAAGCGGACCCCGCCGTCTTTCTTTGAAGCTCCAACCGTCTTTGGTCACGCTTGGCAAATATGTAGGTCAAGTTTTTCCTTGCCAAGTGCTTGGAAGTACATGATTGAGGCTGTGCAAAAATGTGTTCCATTAGGAGCTGGTCAGATCACAAGAGACTGACTGGTCATCCTGATTCCTGGCGCTTCAGGCCAAGGCCACGGTCGCAAAATTTTTGCTCTGCTGTTACATACTTTTGAGTTAGTGGCCTTCTGCCGATTCGAAGTTCTGCCTTTATGAACCACACAATTCTTGACCGGACTATGGCCTTGGATAGCAAGCCGAGTCAATAACCGAAACCGAAAGTTTCGACCTTCCCTGGGCAAACATCATCACACTCGTTAGTAAGTCTGGGCTTTGCACTGCCCGCAGTCATATTCCACTTGGAATGGATCATTACACCTTCAAAGCGCCTGGGCGGGCGCTTCGCTGCCACTTCTCCTGCCACATTGCGTATTCCCGCAGAGCCTTGGTATTCTCCATATGCACAACCCAAGTCTCGCCTGAGTCGCCTTCAGCTATGTCGGCATTCTTTGTCGCCCCCAATCGAGGCAGACTTTTGGATTTGCACTGCCCCCTTCTATGGAGTGCTCTGGGGCCTCCTGTGACTATTCAGGATGTATATGACACTTTGCTCGTCCTCCAGTCGGAAATTCGGCACACAAATTTTTGTATCATTGCTGCCGTCTTTACCGATTTGCATAGAGAGATTCAGGTTTTACCTGGGTTCTATACTACTGCTCTTTTAAAATCGTATACTATTATATTCCTTGCACCGCAGCATCTCATTCGCCAATATGGCCGGGGACAGCTTGGCGCCCCCACCGCCTACACTGACAGTAAACACTCATTGTCGAAACAATAGTTCGTGTAGTACTGCTGGGTCCGATGCCATCACCCCTTCGGGCGAGTCGACTATATCCAACCCTTTCCTCACACCTTCAAAGTCAGCAAAGTCAGACCCGTTCCTTACTCCAAGCAATAGAAGTCGCGCATCGAGTTTTGCTACTACAGCCGTCGATGCAGATACTGCATTACGGCCAGACCCCGGAACAGAAAATGATTTCTACGTCGAGAACAATCCATTTGGCTATAGTCCAGGTCAGCTGAACAAGCTGCTGGGTCCCAAGTCCCTGCCTGCATATAGGGCACTGGGTGGACTCAGGGGCATAGAGAGAGGACTGCAAACCAACCTGGAATCGGGCCTCAGTGTCGATGAGACTGGCATCCCAGCCAGGGTCACCTTTGACGAGGCCGTTTCGGGCACGATAAATCATACAGAAAAGGGCCAGACTCCACACAAGGACAGCAAAGCCTTTGATGACCGCATCAGAGTATACGGCAAAAATGTGTTGCCCGCGAAAAAGGCCACCCCTCTGTGGAGATTGATGTGGAACGCTTATAACGATAAAGTACTTATTTTACTGACAGTAGCTGCCGTCATATCTTTGGCACTCGGTCTCTACGAAACTCTTGGCGTAGTCCACCCGGAAGGTTCTCCTCCCTCAGTTGACTGGATTGAGGGAGTCGGAATTATCGTTGCTATTATCATTGTGGTCGGTGTTGGATCATTAAACGATTGGCAAAAGGAGCGTGCCTTTGTCAAGCTTAATGCCAAGAAGGATGACCGTGAAATCAAGGTCATTCGCTCCGGCAAGTCGTTCATGATCAACATTTACGAGGTTCTCGTCGGAGATGTTATCCACCTGGAGCCCGGTGACCTGGTCCCGGTCGACGGCATCTTTATCGAAGGACACGACCTCAAGTGTGATGAATCCTCGGCAACTGGAGAATCCGACGCAATCAAGAAGACGCCGGGAGACCAAGTCATGAAGGCCCTCGAATCTGGCAACATGCACAAGGAGTTGGACCCCTTTATCATTTCGGGCGCCAAAGTCCTTGAAGGTGTCGGCACGTTTGTCTGTACATCTGTCGGCGTTCACTCGAGCTTTGGAAAGATCATGATATCTGTGCGCACGGAGACGGAGTCAACACCTCTACAGAAGAAGCTGGAAGGTCTGGCAATGGCGATTGCAAAGCTTGGCAGTACCGCAGCTGGATTGCTCTTCACCGTTCTCTTGATCCGTTTCCTGGTCAGCCTCCAGTGGGATACCAGAGCGCCGACCGAGAAGGCCTTTACATTTCTAGATATCTTGATTGTTACCGTCACCATCATTGTAAGTCGACTTCGATATATGAGTGATTATGAGAACAAGCTAACATAAATCAAAGGTCGTCGCAGTACCCGAGGGTCTACCTCTAGCCGTCACACTTGCTTTGGCATTTGCCACTACGCGCCTCGTCAAGGAGAACAACTTGGTCCGCATTCTGAGAGCATGCGAGACCATGGGAAACGCCACCACTATTTGCTCAGACAAGACTGGTACTCTGACTACCAACAAGATGACGGTTGTTGCCGGAACATTTGGCACTTCTCGCTTTGCCAAGAGTGACAAGAGTGATGGCGATGAGAAAGGCGCCTCTCAATGGGCATCCAGCTTGTCGGCCGCTGCCAAGGATTTGATTGTCCAGTCTGTCGCCATCAACTCGACGGCATTCGAAGGCGAAGACGGCGGAGAGACCGGCTTCATTGGCTCCAAGACCGAGACTGCCCTCTTGCAGCTGGCCAAGGACCACCTTGGCATGCAATCGCTGTCCGAGATCCGCGCCAACGAGGATATTGTGCAGATGATGCCGTTTGATTCGACCAAGAAGTGTATGGGCGCCGTCATTCGACTCCGATCTGGTGCCTACCGTCTCTTGATCAAGGGTGCTTCGGAAATTCTTCTCGGCTACTGCGCATCCAAAGCCAACGTGGAGACGCTGGAAGAGGAAGGCATGAGCCAATCTGATCGGGAGACACTTCAAACTACCATTGATTCTTATGCCAAGAAGTCCCTGAGAACCATTGGACTTGTGTATCGCGACTACGCTCAGTGGCCTCCGGCTGGAGTTGAGATCGAGGACGACCACGTCACGCTGTCCTCAGTCCTGAAGGACCTCGTCTTCTTCGGTCTTGTCGGTATCCAGGATCCTGTCAGACCAGGTGTCCCCGAGGCCGTCAAGAAGGCCCAAACAGCCGGCATCGTGGTGCGCATGGTTACGGGTGACAACATTCTGACCGCCCAAGCCATTGCCAAAGAATGTGGCATTCTCGTCGGCGAAGGTATCGTCATGGAGGGACCCGTTTTCAGGACGCTGAGCGAGGAGGCCATGAACGAGACTCTGCCCAAGCTGCAAGTCCTGGCGCGCTCTTCTCCCGAGGACAAGCGCATTCTCGTGACCCGTCTCAAGGCTCTTGGCGAAACCGTAGCAGTAACTGGCGATGGTACCAATGACGCGCCAGCACTCAAGGCAGCAGACGTCGGCTTCTCCATGGGAATCGCTGGAACCGAGGTGGCCAAGGAAGCCTCTGCCATTGTCTTGATGGATGACAACTTTGCCTCCATGATCGTCGCTCTCAAATGGGGTCGCGCCGTCAACGACGCTGTTCAGAAGTTCTTGCAGTTCCAGATCACTGTCAACATTACCGCCGTCCTCCTCGCCTTCATCAGCGGTGTCTCGAGCTCTGACTTTACCAGTGTCTTGACTGCCATCCAGCTGCTCTGGGTCAATCTCATCATGGACACCTTTGCAGCGCTGGCTCTAGCTACTGACCCGCCCACGGAGAAGATTCTTGACCGACCTCCCCAGCCAAAGAAGGCACCGCTGATTACCACAAATATGTGGAAGATGATCATTGGACAGTCCATCTTCCAACTTGCCGTCACCCTTGTCCTGTACTTTGCCGGACACGCAATTCTCGGCTACGACGTCAACAACGAGACCCAGATGACGGAGCTGGACACGATTGTCTTCAACACCTTTGTCTGGATGCAAATCTTTAACCAATTCAACAACCGCCGCCTAGACAACAAGTTCAACATTTTCGAGGGCATCCACCGCAACCAGTTCTTCATTGTCATCAACTGCATCATGGTCGGCGCCCAGGTCGCCATTGTCTTTGTCGGCGGCACCGTCTTCTCCATCAAGCCGCTCAACGGCGTCCAGTGGGCCATTTGCCTCGTCCTGGCGTCGCTGTCTCTGCCCTGGGCCGTTGTGATCCGGCTCTTCCCTGACCCGTGGTTCGCCAAGATTGCGCATACCGTCGGCAAGCCCGTCGTGGTCGCGTATAGGGCGCTCGGTGCCTTCTTCTCCAGCCTAGCAAGAGTATTCAAGAAGCCGGCGCAAAAGTTCAGGAAGGAAAAGGTACAAGAGAGTGAGGATAGAGAGAAGGAGGCAACGAATAATGATACCCCAGCTGTTGTCGTTTCAGAGGCAGTATAGACCATAGATTTTTTACGTACATGAATAATGATTTGTTGTATCCTTGAAAGAGAGTCCCGACTTGTTACATTTACTGTAATTAAGTAATCAACGATGGATATTTTGAAGCATGATTGCGAGCTGTGTTTGTATTCATCTCAATTACTTTATGAGGGAAACACATGAATTGTACAAGAGTATTTTCATAGAACAGACTCTGACACACGAGCATTTTCCGTGAATTATATAATGATATTTGTAACATAATTCTATATATACTTAGCATTCAACCGTTACTTTCTCGTTTTCTGCCCATGACTTGTCGACTTTCGAGGCCACATCTGCCAGCAATGCTTCAGACTGCGCGATGAACCTACAATGATGATGAAGATGTATCGATCTGAAAACAACGTGTAATGTCTTGAAGAGGTCGCTGATTATGCATGATTCACTTGTGACCTGTTTTTGCGCCACTTGATTCTTGCTCGTTCAAGAATCATCCTCAATTTGCCTTCATTCCTCACGTAATATCAAAACACTATACTTTCAGACATGGATTCTCTAAGAGTCAAGATAATAGTTGTTAAGTTCACATGGGAAACTCAAGAATCTTCCCATCGTAGCGTCTAGATGGTCACAGCCGCGTTTCGCGGCCTGTAGTGGCTGTCATACGCTAGAAGCTCTCAGCCAAAAGAAGACTTCCGAGCATCTGAGAATTCCTCCCCCTCTTTTCACCATAACACCCCTGGAAAGGCTAACGATTTCAGCTTTCGGAAGAGGCTCCCTAGAGCCTGATCGTAAAACATGGCGGGGATTTTGAAGTTCTTGTTGATCCATCCAATCGGGGAATCACTCGTTCTCTCTTGCAAAATGCCTACATGTAGTTTATCCAATACTAAATGTTGGAACTAGAATAAGCGAACAAACACTTGCATGAATACCTTTCCGATGGTGTTATGCTCGGGCAAGCCCGGGTTGAAAATGGCTTGCCATTTGGTGATGTTCTGCATGATTGGCAGGCTTCCAAGCCACACGTCAGAACGTGTGTGTGTGCGATTCCCTCGTGTGCTCGTCAAGGGGATGGTGGGAGGTTTGAGGGTTCAATTTTCAACAAGGCCAGACTCGTTTAAACCAGGACTTGCCCAGGTACACTGATGATCTGCATTTTTGATATCGGGGAAAGACCGGTTGAACCATAATTCCATAGCCTAACAACTCGCCTAGTTGTTCTCTTTGTGCGGCAGGCAAAACTTGGGTGAGAGGCGATCCCCGATCCGATGGCGGACTACCTGTTCACCGTTAGTATATTTTCTACTAGTTAGTTGGGAAGCGAGGGTCGGCCGGCAGATCAACAACTGTACTCTGTATCTCAGCAAGTGAGAGAAAACTCAATGGGGGTTGAAAAAGTGTTTGTCATGTTGAGAAAGACGGGGGGAATATTTCGCGTGAGCCGCCAAGACGCTTACCCCGGACGACAGGCCAAAAGTAGTCTGGTGGTTTGCAAAGAACCAAATGATGCCTGCTGCTTCTGTCCAACGACGCCGCTGGAATCTCCAAGCATTTGGTTCTTGGGATCCATCGCGCCGGGTGTCGCCCGCCCACCCGCCGCCACCGCCGTTGCTTACCTACCTCCCTACCTCGACATGGGATTCATTAGAGACAAACGTATTTTGGTGGTGGGCTCCGGTGTATTACCACCTTGGATTATTTGAGGCTCCCCGCGGCGGAGCACATGCTATCAATTACCACCTCAAATTGTGCGGCTCCGGGCGTCTATGCGGGTTCCGGGCCTTTGCGGCTTCTAAAGATGGACAATGGCCCAGCTCTCGACCCAGCTTTTGTTTTCTCCATCGCGGGGGAACGACATTGACAACGACAACGTTGCACCGGTCGGTTCTCTCCGGACAGAAGGACCCTCTGCCCAGAAGGCCCAGAAGGCTTGGTGAGCTTGTGCACTGGAGCTCTTTTGAGGGGAAGGGAAATTCAATGCGGTGCACCCACTGCACCCACTGTACCCTACTTGCTTCGTACATACACTGGGAACTGACTACGACATACGTACATGTGTGCTATATTACCAACTACTACTTAAAAGTGCTACCCACTCCCCCATTCTCTTGGGAAAGTCTTGGCCAAACACCAACTCCATCGCTCCTTGGCGCTTCGTCAGTTTTCCCACCTTTTTGGGTATCTACACGCGCTCTCAATGGCCCGCCATTCCTCCCTGGCCCTCGTTGGTGCTCCTTGGCAAGACTAATCAAATGGCTAATGGTACGATTGGGGACCCAAAAGACAAGAGACACATAACTGAAAAGAGGAATGCGGGGACCCCGCCACTTGGCCTTCTTGGCCGCGACACGAGCCCGTGGGGTTTTGGTTCAGTTGGTGGATGCGATCCCTTATTCTTACTGCTGCCAAGTTCCAAACTGCCAACTGCTTGCTGGGAAAACGCGTGAGCTCAGTGAATCCATGTTACCGACTGCTGACCCTAGTGCCCACTAATGATTCCCACCTGCTGTGCTGCATATCAGCCATGCCATGCCCATTCCGTGCATATATGCACGCGCGTATCTGGAAACAATAGGTAGGTCATACTAAGCAGGCCTGGTAGGGTCAGTCGAGTTGTTGGTAATTATGGAGCAGTATTTGCGGGGCGGCTTATGAATGTCTGACTTTGGAACGCCCATCTACCGTATCTGGGGGAAACGGGGTGAAGTGAAAGTGGGCGACAATGTGATCACGAACATTCGAGAGGAGGAGCAGGGATACCTGGTGAATGAGTCGATCGCCCAATCCCAAATCTTTTTTTTTCTCTCCTCATTCGTCTGCGTTGCCGGCCGTCGATCTAGCTAGCCCCCGTAGACGATAATGACTTTTACATCTGTTTCTCTCGGGAGACAGACTGCCGAACTCAGTCGGGCCCTTTCAGCTCCTGTCAGATGAATGACAAAAAGCCCTCCCTCTGCCCCCTCTTGTAAAAGTATATCTAGCCCATCTCCCGTCTAGACTCTGGAGGACCTGTTGCGAAGTCAGTTCCCATCCCGGTCCATTTCTGTATTACTATCAATTCAAGATTGTATACGTGAGACGGGCGCAAAGATGGCTGGAGGGGTTAAAAAACCCGTCAACATCTTCAAATTGAAGAATTTGAACGAACCAAAGGGCGTCTTCAACTGGCGCCTGTGGTTTGCCGTCATCTCCTTTGCCCTGTTGGGTGCCGCTCGTGGCGTCGACGAGGGTTTGATCTCGGGTGCCTTCAACTCGAAAGATTTCCAGAACAGCATCAACTATTCTTCCTATTCCGACTCGGAAAAGACCAACATCAAGGCCAATGTCTCTGCCATGGTTCAGATTGGTTCGGTTGGCGGTGCCCTCTTGTAAGCAAGCTTCCTTATCCTTGTCGCCACAAAGCACAACTCACTCCTCTCCGTCACATCGGCTTACACTCGTCTCGTGACCAGCGCTTTCTTGATTTGTGATCGCATTGGCCGTATCTGGGCCACCAGAGAACTCTGCCTTGTCTGGATTGTCGGAATTGCAATCTTCCTCGGCAACAATGGAAACCTCGGCGCTGTATACGCTGGCCGGTTCATTGCTGGTTTGGGTGTCGGCCAGACCCCTGTGGTTGGTCCAGTCTACATTGCCGAGATTGCTCCAGCATCCGTTCGTGGACTTTGCACCTGCATCTTTACCGGATTCGTCTATCTCGGTATCGTGCTGGCTTATTTTGCAAACTACGGCGCTCAGATTAACCTGGGCGATGTAAGCCATATCCGATGGATGGCGCCGACGTCCCTACACATCATCTTTGCGGGATTGATCTTGATCCTCACCCTCTTCCAGTATGAGTCGCCTCGCTACCTCATCAAGCGCGGTAAGCTGGATCGCGCCATCGAGGTCATGTCCCGGCTGCGTAACCTCCCCAAGGAGGACCCCTATGTGGTCAGTGAAATCAATGGCATCGTCAGGGCGCACGAGGATGAACTGGAAGCCACCAAGGGAGCTGGCTGGTTCGGCATTCTCAAGGAGATGTTCATCCCCAGCACGCTGTACCGCCTCTACCTCAGTTCCATGGTCCAGTTTCTCAGCCAGTGGTCCGGTGCCGGCTCCATTACCTTGTATGCCCCCGACTTGTTCAAGCTTCTCGGTATTACCGGACAGAACGAGTCTCTCCTGGTTACTGCCGTGTTCGGTATTGTCAAGCTTGTTGCTGCCATCATTTGCGCCCTCTTCCTCGTTGATGTTATTGGCAGGAAGCGAGCGCTTCTCATTGGTATCACCTTCCAAGCCATAGCCATGGTCTACATTGCCGGCTTCCTGACTGCAGTTCCCGAGCTCGGCGTCGTTGACGATTATGTCTTACCGGCGGCCGAAAAGGGTGCCAGTCGCGGTGCTGTTGCCATGATTTACATCTCGGGTATGGGTTGGGCTCTTGGCTGGAATAGTGTAAGTCGTGTTGTTCCCATGCTTTTGAATGCTTGTAGTGAAGGATCAAGATGCTGACATTTGTTTTCGCAATTAGATGCAATACCTTCTCACGGCTGAATTGTTCCCTCTGCGGATCCGAGCCGCTGCTACATCCTTTACCATGATGCTTCACTTTGTCAATCAATATGGCAATTCGCGTGCAGTAAGTTGACCTTGGCCCCTGCTTCGATGCAACTTTGTATCATTTTCGTTCGGACCTGCGTAAGAAAGAAAGCTAAAATAGCAACCCTGCAGGTACCCAATATGCTGATCCCTAGTGGCGAAGGAGGTATCAGCCCCAAAGGCACCTTCTGGTTCTTTGCCGCGGTCACCATCCTGGGTGGATTCTGGGTGTGGTTCTCTGTCCCTGAGACCTCTGGTCGGTCGCTGGAGAGCATGAACAGGCTGTTTGACCTGCCTTGGTACAAGATCGGTCTGCATGGTAACGAGGATGCGGAACGTCAAGATGCCGTCGTAAACGAGAAGGAACGGGAGTTTGGACCAGCCGAGCAGGTTGAGCATGCCTAGACATAGTCGTGCAGGTTCTGAATGCATGTCCCTAAAAGACACGTTATGATAAATACCCAAATGTATAGCTAGATCACACCAGCCTGCTTTGTGTGGGTATGAAAGACTTATTCCATGTCAGCGACTTTTCCGCAAACTCAAGTATATGGTGCTTGCGACATTGTTTTGCGAATGTAGTAGCAATAGTCTTGCTGTGTTCTCAGCCAACCAAAGCTGAGAGATACGTCGAGTGTTGTTCACAATACTTACATATGCCTCGGCGCGTCCCTTCTATCCACCTGGGCCCTGACTTTGGTTTGACCGCCATTGCCAGGTCTCTTACGCCCAGTTCAATGCCAAGTATCCAAATTCAGTCTGCTTCTGAGACTTATACAAACAATTGTTACTGTACGTTATTAAGACCCCTAGCCAGGAGCCGCTTGCCCCCTTGTTGCTTAGCTGCATCGAAAAGATGCAGAAGCTTTGTAGCAAGCATCTATTTGAAGTGTCCCGTCTACGGCAGTCACAGGGTCACAAGGACTGTACAGGAAACTTTCTCAAGTACCATTCAAAGGGGCGGCGGCGTCGGCGACAAGGAGTTCCAGCAGAGTCGGAAGAGCCTCGGAAAACTCGCTCAGATTTAAGAAAGCACAAGAAAAAGATGAAAGTGCATCGGAACACTGGCTCGAATTCAATAAAGTACATCGAAAAGGCATTTAAATCGTCAAACTTAGGAAATTTGTGGCAATTCAACGACGACGAAGAAGACTTTCAGAATTTGTCCGATGTTTCTTCCGACCTATCTTTCGACTCTACCATAGACAGCGATTATCTAGGATCGCGTCGTTTTCGCCTGTTCAGGTCACAGTCTCCCCCGAATAGTCCTTTACATTCTACGTCTCCTTCATTGAGATCTAGATCACCTTTAAATAAAAGACGGGAGGCGGGAAAAGAGAACGGTTGAGTTGGCAATGGCGACTGATGGTGGCAGAGCTGAAAGAACTGGGGGCCATCTTGTAGATACGGTTGATAACTTATGAAAGAATTAATTTCCATACTTTCAAGTGGAACTTCTTTCTGAATAGACCATGTGCAACCGAGTCATTTCAATCTTTTCTTCTTCTTCATCTTTGCTTTTGGCAAGAGTCTTGAAATGTTGAGTTGAGCTCAAAGGTGGTTGTTTCCATTTCTGACCTGGTTAATACCCACTACAAAAAGGATTCCGTGCTTGCTTTCAAGCACAAGCATAGGTAACCAGACAGATTCACTAGAAAGTTCCTAAATTACAAACCTTCGCCTCGCATATTGAGCACAGCTTCGAATCGTTTCCAAAATGAAGACTTCTTTTCAGCACTTCATCTCTGCTTCCACAATCGTTACCTTTATTCACGCCAAACCTTTCATCAGCTTACGCGACTCGCACACACCGTGGACAGAGGCAACATGCGATCAAGCATGGCTCCGTCCTTCTCCTACGAGCGTTGAGCTCTGGGCCACCTGTCCCAACGACGGCCACGCCCAACCCTTCCCAACTTGCTCAGGCTTGGATCTCAACGCGTACGTGGAATCTCCCCATGCGCCCGTGCTGGCCTGGGCCAAGATACATGTGCTAACGGTCTTTTCTCCCGTCAGCTGTTTTGTCAACAATTTTGGCACAATTACGGCGCGTATCAACGGCTCGGCGTTCGAGACGTGCTCAGGCTGTATATTTCCCCAGGACGACTTTGTTCCAAACAACACAATGATGTCTTGCAATTGTAAGGGCCACGGGGGACATATCCAGGCGACCACAGTCGCGCTTGGTACGTTCTTGTTGAGAAATTCCCTTGGAGTTGTTATTCCTGGCATGGCACGGTTTCTAGAGGGCTAATGCTTGATGCTAGATGATGCCATCTGGGTCGATCAGAATGGCTACCTACGGTGCTTCGAGACCCAGGGCTACTATACTGGCTGTGACGATCCCTCCCATACTCCGCCGGACTTCCTATCGGCTGGAATCTGACGATATACCCGGAGACATGACTGTTGGTTCGAACTTGCTGGACAAGGAGATGGATAGAAATTCTGTGCCTGCTGTGCAATGGAAAAGGCTTGACTGTATTGAAAAACCATCGAATTAAGAGCAGTCAGTCCTGTAGAGGCGCGTATTCGCATATAGAATGGGGAGCAGAAGGACGGTTAAGAATCCGGGATGCTACGAGTCATTGGTCGCGTTTCCTGGGCCTAGACACTGCATTTCAAGCCCCGTCCCAGGTAATGAATATGTTCTAAACTTCTTCAAGATCCTTGAACTTGCTACTGTTGACACGAATATATCATGACCACAACCATCTTCCATGTATATGGCCAAGTACTGTCGCGAAATGCACCCAATCCTCTTTTGAGTCATCCATATTATTGCACACGGATCGATAATCCTTAGAGTGTTATTCAATTTTGAAGAGATTCTCATTCTTTCTCATGATCTACTGCTTTGTATTTCTTCGGCTTCTGCCCCTTTCAGTTCTACCCAGGACGGCCTCAAGGGCAGTTTTCAGACCTTGCTCATCGTACCTCAGTACGCCATCGACGCGACGACCATATACTCTAATACAATCGACTCCCAAGCTTGCAAGTGCATCCTTTTGTACGACTGGCGTGCCCTCGCCCTCCATGTGCACGAGATGGGTGACGTAGCGCCGCACCTCATTGTGCCGACCAAACCCGTCAAACTCGCCCTGGCTCTCGGCGGCCGCGCGCGCAATGGCCTTGACAAAGTCCACCGCAGTAAAGGGGCTGGCGCTCGGCCCCGTCTCGCGATCATTACTCGAATTGAGAATCAGGATCTTGTGCCGCACGCCGGCGTGCGCGATGGCGTGGCCGACGCCGCGCAGGATCAGACTCGGCACAATCGACGTGTACAGGGACCCGATGCTGTAAATGACGGCATTGGCGTGCGCGAGGGCCTCGACTACGCGCGGGTTGGCGCGCGGGCGGATCTCGTGGCCGTAGGGGTTAATGTACCAGACACGATCTATGCGGCTGGGCAGGTCGTCGTCCTCGTTTGATTTGGAAAACTCTATGTACTGCTTGCGCAGCGTGGGGAGGCTGCCCGGCAGATTAGCGTCCTCGATCAGATCGTGCGCGTCCGTGTCCTCGGCCGACGATGACACGCCCGTAGAGTCGGCAGCGTTTCTTGTTGCTGTCCCCGTCCCGTTGACGTCGGGGAGTGATGTGGGTTCGCTGGGGTGCGAGATGGCATTTTGTCCGGTAATGACGGTGCCGTCTGCAAGCCCGGCAGAGATGTGATGGGAAAAGTTGCTATTAATGGCAGGGAGGACGGAGGTGGAAGGGGGTATGGAACAGATTTGGGAAAGCAGATATATGGACGACTCGAGAGAGCCAGTGAATATGCGTGCGCTGGTTTTTTTTTTCAGTTGATTAGTTCCAACTCATTCTCACAATGCTTGGGGATGGTTTACCCAGTCAAAAACATATTGCCCACTGCAGCCCTTCCAAAATGGAACGTTGAGCTCGGCCGGGCTCTTTTTACAATCTCCATGTTGACCATGTTGAAGATGCTTCTAATGAGCTCGCGCTTGTCGCTTGAGATTTGTGCCCACAGAGGGTGCCTGCCCTCTACAATGTCCAACCACTCTGACCGGGCGGCCTCTGGCTCCGAGGACAAACGATAATTGAACAGCGCCTTGGTCGCTGCAACATCACCATTCGAGTCCGGCTTGGGGATCAGCCGAACAAGACGAGATCGGACATCACCGATTCCTTGATTTCACGTGTCAGCTCATACTCAGTACCTCCTCACATTTGGCATGTCCACCTACCAGGTCCACCAAATACACGAATAAGCTCGGACGAGCTTCCGCCATTGTCGCTAATGGGAATTATATAGCTCAGCGAGCATCCTCTGCTTTCGCGCAGGTCGTTCAATACATCGACGAGGCTGTTGGTGGCGGTTCCACCGCCAAAGACGACGATACCTTTTGGGCGTGGGGCATCCATGGCCAATTTGTGAAATGTCCAAGTTAAATCAAATTGCAAAACCGTCAATCAGGCAGACAAAATGCTGCATTAAAAGCAAATCAACCCGCAATAATGGGCAGTGGTCTGAGCAATATTGAGAATTGGGAATTGTTCACTGAAATAAAGGGGGCGCCTCCTACCACATGGTCTAAATTCTAGTCGTTGAACGGAGGGGCAACTGTCCTTTACTTTATACGTTTACCGCCAGTCCGTGAATGCATACTAGAATCAAAACTTGTCCACTCAATCTGTATACGAAGACTAATTTCATCTCATTTGTAATGCTTCCTATAATTCTCAAAACTCGCAACGTGTTCTCGATTAATAAATAGCCTTAGGCTATGAGTCAGATACGGCGCCGGTTGCTTGCGTCACCCGAAGTTGAGCCGAGCGGAAACTCTCTGCGGAAGTTGGATCTCAATAGCAAGCTTGGTTCTGCTGGATACCACAAGTCTTGTGATTCAAACCTTTCTAGTACATAGATTCAACAATGCAATAAACTCATCGCCTGGTGGTGGTACTTATTGGTAGTAAATACGGCTTCCACAAAGCTCGTTGATCAAACGATTGATTTCTACGCCCATTGGAATACATCTACGACTCTAAGACGTCGTAAACGACCCAATGTGACATCGGACCTTGGTCCATTCCCGAGAGGGGTTTTTATGACTATTGATACATGTTCATTGGAGCTGGCGATCGTTGATCCCTCTATGCTCTTTCTAGTCGTCTATGCAATTCAGCACCTTGATGTTTACACTCAGCGGAGAGCGGCAGCAGGTTGCGGCTGCTGTTGACGTCCCTGACTCCATTCCTGAATCTTGCGTCGTCTCTCCTCGATCTTCTTCTCAAACTCCTCAACCTTGGCGAGACGTGCCTTTTCATCTTCGGCGGCCTTCGCATCCATCTCAATGGCCTTGCGCGCCTTCTCGCGCTCGTCCTGGTCCTTTCTGCGAATGGCAATGTCTCGTGGGTGGAAATCGCTAAAGAGCATCTTCAAAACGACCTCAATCGAGTAACATCCAACAAAGTCGAGGACCATGACCATTGTCAAGGTGGTACTGAATTCGTTGGAAAAGTCCACAAGCATCATCTTTTCGTTCAACTCGGGAATGAACTTGGTTGAGCAAGAAAATGCAATTGCAGTGACACCAATGATGCCCCAGAACATGCCCTTATTCTCCGAAATGGACTCACGGAAAGGACGACCTTGGTAGTTGACGGCAAAAGTAGAAATTTGCTGGATGAGTTGCAAAAGGTATACGGCAGTGTTGAGAAGCGAGGGGCTAAACTCTGCTTCGAGATCGACATCACGCTCGCCGCGTCTGAAGTAGTTAGTGACAGGTCCATTAAAAACCAGTGGAGCTAGACTTACGGATCGAGCTGCTCACAATATCGGGCAATGTAGATGAGCGTAACGATATGGACGGCAAATTGGCCGAGGATGGAACCAATGATGTAGAAGTTGAAGATGTTGGGTTGCGGGCGCTCCTTCGACAAGCCTTCGACAGTACGGGCACGAGAGATGGACAGGAAGCACACAGACATCAGCATACCACTAATGGTGTACTGGCCATCGCCAAACTTGATACCCTCAAGGTAAAGCACAGACAAACTGTATGCACTGATCAAGCAGTTCAATGCGAGAATCTTGTACATCTGAATCGTAGCAACCAAAGTGCAACGACCCTGTCGGATAATGTTGGGCACGGCAATGACGTTGCGGAGCTTGCTCGTAAAGGGTGCTGCAACAGAAGCATCACCAAGCTTCAGAGTAGGAGGCTCATCGTCCATCTCCATATCCATCATACCGCTAGTCAACTTGTCGGCAAAGCCAGCGGCCTTTTGAGCGGCGGCTTGTTGTTTAGCCTGACGGGGATCGTTGTTGATAATCTGCTGAGCTGCGGGTGTTGTAACAGTCTCTGTCATGTCAATACCATGCAGTTTGATATATTCCTCTGGTGTGATCTTCTTCTTCTGGGCTTCGCGTTCAATTGCCTTTTGAAGATGAGGATTAGATGGACCGGCGGGATACAGGTGCGCAATCATGGCAGGAACGGGTGGTGCGGGTTGGTTGAAGCGCTTCATGAGATCCACTTGCTTCTGGTACATTTCCTTCATCTTGGTGTTTCTGCCGTGCTCGGCAATCCGAGTGAGGTCGTCTTGTGTACCGTTGAGAAGAGCAATGCCGATGTGGGCCTGCTTCAGTGCACCTACATCATTGGTGCCATCACCGGCCATCAAAGTGTAGTAGCCAAGGTCTCGCATGCCAATGAGAATATCTTCCTTCTGCTTTGGAGAAACTCGAGCGTAGACCCAGGTGTAGCGGAGGAGAGATCGGAAAGCCGCATGGTTGTCCTTGTCCTTCAATTTGGTCAGAGCGTAGCCAGTGACACAAATATCTTTTGTCTTGAGAATTTCCGGATCAATGGCTGCTGAAGGATCGACATCGATACTGACTCTGTCGTCCACGCTCTTCCAGACAAGTTGCTCTCCGCCCTCGTTATGCTCGGGAGCATCCAGAATCAGGACATCTCTGTCAACAATCTCAACCTCACGAGCGACATGTACGGCAGTCAAGGGGTTATCTCCAGTAATCATGACCACACGGTGGCTGCTCTCGTTGAGCATCTGGACCGCTTGCTTGGCATCTTCCTTAAGAGGACACTGAAGCACCAAAAATCCGGCAAAAGTGAGGTCGGCCTCCACCAGCTCACGCTTCAGGTCATTGATCTTGCCAGATCCAAGCTCGTTATCAACTGTCAGCTGCTTGTAAGCCAGGGCGAGGACACGAGAGCCACGGCGAGTAAAGTACTTGTAGGTCTCCTCGTAGTCCTTGGGTACGACAGTGAGCATGCGCATAATAGTCTCGGGAGCACCCTTGACACCAACGAATGTGCCTTTCATCTTGTGGCCAGTCTTGGAATCCATGGCGTTGATAGTGGCCACAGAGCTTTGGCGTTTCAGAGCAGATGAGAATTGGAATCGGCGCTTGACCTGGACGGACCCAGCAACACCACCTGCAGCAGCAGCAGCCGGCTTGGCAGTCAACACATCATTCCTTCCGAGCACCCAACCAAGCGAGGTCAGTGTAGCTTTTTCCATGGGATCACCAACAATGTCGCCCTCGTCGAGCTTCACCAGAGCGTGCGCAGTGGCGAGAACGAGTGTAGTCTCCATACCGGCATCTTTGACTAGGGTCATGTGGCTGTGGGCTCCATCAGACTCTACAGGAGTATCTGTGCCAGTGTGACCCAGGCCAAGACCAGCGATACCTTCCACAACCAAGTCCTCGCCGGTGAGCGTGCCAGTCTTGTCAAAACAGGCGACATCGACTCGGCCAGCAAAAGGAATACGGAAAGGCTCGGTACAGAAGATGGCCAACTTGGCCAGGGCAGCAAGACTAGTGTTGACGGCCAAACTCAATTCCATGGGCAGCTCGGGAGGGACAACGCTGGTAACGATCAAGACACAATCCAGCAGAAGCTTGGACCGTTTGCGATCCTTGCGAACACCCTCGTCCCAGACATACCATGATGCGGCAATTGCGAAAATGAGCAGGAACAGAATGAAGAAGAGGGCTTCGGCGTTGTTGGCAGAGACTCGCTCGGTAGAGTAGATCATTGTGCGCACGAGACTGCCTTGGGAGGTCTCGAAACCGGTCTTCATGACGATAGCCATGGCTCCATTGTCGGGTGGTGTGGGTACTCCCGAAGCAAGCTTGGGCTTTTCTTCGTCTGGATTTCCATGAGTGACCTGTAGAACCTTGGTTCCGCCCCATAGGAAAGCATTCTTATCGAGTCCCTCGGGCTCGAGGTGAGCATCGGCGGGACGCAGTTGAACCGAGTCCTTGAGCAATGGTGTACTCTCGCCAGAGAGCATGGCCTCGTTGACGATTGCCGTTCCTTCAACCAACAACATATCGCAAGCGACACCGCTGTCCTCCTTGGTGCGGCTCACAGACACGAGATCACCGGGTAGCAGTTTGTCGCTCTGAACTTCAGTCCACTTTCCCGCTCGATAAACCCACATGTTGTATGGCTTGATGCTCATGCCTCGGAACTCGTTGAGCGTGCGCTGGCGTTGCCAAACAACAGTCGACTCGAAGGCGACCAGCATGAACAGGGTGAAGAGCGAGTAGTACCAGTATTCATCCAGCATCCACAAGCCGACACAGAAAATCTGGAACACGAAGAATGGGGCCACGGCATGCTCCTTGAAGAGCTCCGTGAATGTTGGTACCGGAACGTCGAAGGTGTTGGTTCCATAGTATTGCTCAAGACGTGTCACTTCTGCTTGGCTGGGTATGCCCTTGGACTTCTGGAACTCGTCGAGCTTCGGCTTTGGTTCGGCATCGATGGCATATGCGAGAGGGCTGAAGGTCTTGGTAGCAGGGTCGAAGAGGAAGCGGCGCTTCTGGAAGAGAAAGGAAATGTTAGTCTTTCCTGCGACGTTTTCACGCTCAAGCTTGCAGATCTCTGGAGTGCCAGCGTTTGCCACAGGAATGACTTTGATGAGTTCGGCATCCTCGATGCTCTTGGCCTTGCTTGCAGTGAAGGAGGCTTTCAAATTGACACTCCAGTGCGTGCTGAGCCAGACAAGGGATTGCGCCGTGATGATTGTGCCGCACCAGACAAAAGTCCACTCCTGTGCGCCAATGTGCTTCTCGTAGAGATCGGCGTCGAGGTAGTAGCGGGCGAAAATTGGCCAAATGATGGCGAAAGGCCAGATGTACAAATGACGAAAGGTGGGCAAGGAAATCAAGAGCTCAGAGCTCTTGATCTGATCGTTGTTCACCAATGCCATTGCGATTGCCTGATGGTCATCGCAGTTGGGAGTTGGGAGGAGATGACAGATGTGAATTTGGTGATTATCGTGTCGGATAGCTCGAGGGTCTAGCTAGGGGACTAGGCTAGGGGAGGAGATATTGACCCGCCTAGGTTAGGTACCTACTTAGCCTACGTACGCCCGGGACTCTAGCTGATCCGGACTAATGTTGGACCGCCCAATGACGGCTTGCGGGGGGGCCTCAGCTGTTTGGCTAGATGCCTACAAGGGACCAACAAGAAAAAGACAAATTCAACAAGGATAGTTGACAGGAGAAAAAAGAAAAGAAGAAATACTGCTGCAGTCACAATGCAAGAGTCAAATAGTTCTTGCCAAAAGACTTGGGGATGTCAAAGTACTGCAACAAATGTCTTGGCCAATGTGCATACTGCATGGAGATAAGACATTGGCAACAACCAGACTCTTTTGAACACTATTCCAAAGCGCACCGTTGTAGATTTGTCACCCTATGATATCACTACGACGATACATCGTATGCAATCTTTTATTCTTTCTATTACTTTTAACAGAGGAACTTAGGAAGCTGAACTTTCAATCTGATTACCGATGTGATGGCAGCGACGAGTTCCTGGTTGGAAGAAAAGACAATTGCAATTGGTCTTGCCGTAAATCATGTGTAATCTCATTTCATTAGTCATTACATATAGGTACAACGCAAAGCAGATTCCCACCATGTATTCCATCCCCGTCCCCATCCACGCCATTACCTGCAGTCCAAACATTCGTTTATCTTTGATGGCAGGCACTATCTTCTATTGCCCATCAATCATCATGTCATAGTGTTACTTGTATTGTCTTTGCAACAGAGGGAACGCCAGCGCTCGAGAGAGCAAAGAGGTAGTAGTATCCAGGCAAAAGGACACCGGGATCCTGTTCCAGAGTGAAGCTGTACTGTGTGCCACTTTGAACAGTCGTCGAAATTGGTAGTCTACGTTGGTCAGAATTGATAGAATGAGTGACACTGCCAATGCGCATCAATGCAAACTTGACACCCGCGGTAGAGGAGCTCATGGTCGCGCTCAGACTGCCGCCGACCTTGACTGCAGTCGCCGAAACAGAGCTTATGACGGGCCGTGTGGCCAGGGTATTGTCAGAGTTGAAGAGATACGGCGGCGAGAATATCTGGGCATCGGCGTGGTCCACCGCCTTGTTACAGGCGGCGTCTGACGAACCCGGAGCACCAACGTAGCAAAGTCCGCCACCTCCGCTGAGGACAGTCCCATCGGGGAGGAGAAGTGACACGCTATGATCTGGAGGGGTCCAAAGTTAGCATGATGGACATGAAGGATGCTTCCAAGATATTCTGTCCTTTTAGCGCCCAGAGAACTTAACGTTCGGAGCAGTTGTGCTACTCAAGGAAACCTGACGAAAAAGTGATAATACTAGTGTTTACTCACAATTTCGCGCCACGGCGGCTTTAGCTAGTGTTTTCCAGGTCTTTGTGTAAGGGTTGAAGAGCTCGGCAGCGGTGGCCCCGTCTGTGTCGGTGAAGACATGAGCCGTCTTCTGGCCTCCAGTCACAATGATGTTTCCATCGGGCAACACAACACCATTACCGAAGGCCCGCGCATCTGGTACTACTTGTCAGCTCCTTGATCCTTTCAAAAATGCAAGAAAGGGTCTTGTCGATTCGTGATATGCCTTTTCCCCAATTTCTTTTTCTGTTTCTGTTTCCAGGTGCGAAAGAATTTACTTACAAGCCATGTCTGCCACTCGCTCGACGGTAGCATTGACATACGGGGAAGTGATCGTGGTGATGTGAGCCGATGTCCATCCCGCGCTATTGTCATAGTCGGACGCGCCGCCGGCTGAAAAGATCTTGCCCACATCGTACATGACATTGATTGCGCACATGGCATCGTCAGTATCGCGGGTAGCTGCGAGCACCACGGACCCATTACCGGCGGTATCGAACCAGTGCTGCGTTCTGGAGGGACCAGCCTGGAAGACCGAGCCATTCTTCCATCCATAGAGCCAAGCGTGATTGTCCTCTCTCCAGATACCTGTTGAAATCATGTGTCAATCACGTGTTATATATTGTTGTCTCAGATACTCACCTTCATGGTCGTCCGTGAGGATTGGTTCAGGCACGGCACCGGTTAGGAGAGTCCAGGTGTTGGCCGTAGGGTCGTAGACCTCTCCATCCTTGCCTAGATGACGTTAGAATCGATTTGATTTCTCGAGGCATGATTCGGGTCAAGCCAATCATGGCAAATTTCAACATACCGCCATAACCACCAGAATATGAGCCGCCCACAGTGAAGATCTTGCCATTCGACAAGGTAGTTGAAGATTGGCTACGGCCCGAGTCAGTGAATGTTTCTTCTATAGTATTGCTATGTTCCTTACTAGCCGCGTGCAACCTACAAGGTCAAAATGTTAGCTTGTATTCCTTTTCTTTGCTTTCATTTGTAGACAACTTTGGTACTGGGTCAAGTTTCCAGAGACAAGACTTCAGTGTTCATGAAACCAATACTTGTAATCACTCACATTCATATCTGGTCCACGCGTGAATGCATTGGTCTTGGGGTCATAAATGCTCGTCTTCTCTGCATCTGAACCACCAGTGATCACAAGGCGGCCGTCTTGAAGCTGGCTCATTCCTGGACAAAACATGTCATGGTTTGTGTTTGATACTTGACGCTGCGAGATGGCTCCCGTCTTCCAGTTGTAGTCGGCGAATTGCGTGTAGCCTCCTGCGCCACCAAAGGTTGTCGCGCCCCAAGACGAAAAGACCAGCAGCCTAGTGGTATCAGGCGCCTCGGGAACGATATAGGCAGCCACGGGGATGATGGGAAAGCGAATCAAATCTGTCCACTGGCCAGTCGTTGCGGGCGTCGATGCAACAGCCTTGTTGATCACATCGTACTTTTTGTTATATACCCACTGACTATGTTAGTGATCCTGTATACATTCTGTTGTTCCTCTGAGACTTGGACATTTGCAGTCGCCAGCACGAAGATAAGGATGGGATATCAATGAACGCTTACAGTCAATAATCCGGTAGAGTCCTTCAAGTGGCAATATTTCCCAGTTTTGTCGTACACAGCTTGAGTGCAGCCACTGGTTGTGTCACAAAGCTTTGCACATGCCTCGCGACTTGCAATGCTTGCGACAATTGACGCGCTCGTACCCTGGAGATCAGTATCAGGACAAATAGAGAAGGTCCCCGTCGTTCCAGTATAGGTGGTATCTTTATGGCATGTTAGATTTGACGCTTCAATATTCGCCGGATGATGCGCCTATGGCACGTACTTGTGAAAGGACACCGCGCAATGATGGTGCCTTCAGCAAAGGTGTTATTTATATATATCACATTGAATTGTGTATTCGAGACCCAGGTCAAGGTTGCCGTGGTGTCTTTGATATGGCACTTCTTGTTTGTCGTGTCATAGACTGCTTTCGTGCATGTGGTATTTGCGCTGCACTGTCCTTGAGTAAGCTAAACAGTTCCAATTTCTCCCAATCGAAAAAGGCGATATGAACTTACAATCTGAGCACACGCTGAAGAAGTAGTGACACTACTGGTGATCAATGAGCTTGTTCCTTGTAGATCAGTCCCGGAGCAGGTTGCGTATCTAGCACCATCGGCATCTGTGTAATACGATAGTGTACTAGGGCAATCTGTCAAGGCTTTGACAACGACGAGGTTTAATCCCAAGGCAATTGCCTTGAGGATCCCCGAGGCATGCATTATTGTAAATTCCGCAAGTCTCACACTACGAAGTAATTGAGTGGAAGGACGAAGCAAGAAGAGAAACCCTGACGTGACAAGACACAATACATCTCGGCCATGATGATTTGACCGCACTCTTTATAGAAACACAGCCGCCTGTGTAATCATGTCATCGTGTCAACACAAGGACAAGTCGTATGGAGTGAATTTCCTGTTGTCGCCAATGCCTTGGTCCGGAGCCACAGCTCTAAGCGAGCATCTCATCCGTCAACCGAGCCAACGCCTATATCGTGTGGCTTGTCATCATGAGCAGATTTCAACATGCTGCCAAGACCTATATTCATCCTACACCTGCATAGACAGCTCACTCACCGCTGGGGCGCAATACGAGCAACCTTGTCAATTGCATCTTCAGCTGCTTCTAGCCGAGCGAGATGTCTCTTGGTATCTGGCTGACGTGAACAGTATATTAGACATGTGATCAATGAGCTTCGGAGCATCGCAGGTGCAAATCGAAATGCATTTAGTTCTGTAAGCTGACGAGCCGTGATCTTGTTCCGTGACTAAGCTGGGATTTGTACAAACTGAGTACCTGAATCCGGAGAGACTCGCGTTCCTGCCAAGGCAGAGCCGAATTGGGACGCGCGCCGATATTTGGCCATATTTTTTCTTGCCCAGGTGAGCACGCGATGAGGTTGCATGAGCGCCCCGAGGCCTTGGAAAGACGACCGAGTTCGGCTTGTCCTCCTGGTAGCCAATCGGTCTAGTCACCGACGATTCTGCAATCAGACCTTGAATTAGATCTCGGATTCCATGCTGGCTGCATAGCAGCCGACCAGGTCACCAGATACGGAAGGTGATGGACTATCGCTTATCTTCCCTGATTTCATTGACAGAGAGCCTCAAAATAGGGTTTTGTTGTGCAGATATGCAAAAAAGACAATGGAAATTTGATACTTGCCATTAAAATAATGCGAGCATCGCGATCCACGTGGATATCGATGGAAAATGAAGGCCAATTCAAGATTACCATTGGCACGTACATGGGGCTCTAGACACCTGCACCGGTAAGTGGGAGGCGCACATAGTGTTGACGGTCCACAGAAACGCCCCGCGCCCGCCCCCACGCACGCCACCTCCGAGGCAGCCGGTCGCTAAGAATTACAACCTACAGGTCTAGGCTCTAGAGTAACATGGCAGTTCAATATATGCATTATACTCTATAGTTTTCCAGGTGTACGGCTATATTTCTTGGCGTAGCGTTATTAACTAATTATACGGCTATATTTAAGTAAAATCGGGCCTAATCGTTTTGCTTTTTGCGGTTTTAAATTTTTTTTACGCTTTTAAAGCAGTTTTAAATTTAAATGCATTAAATAAAATAATGCTTTCCGCTATTATTTATTAATCCGTATTAAATTTATATTTTTCGGTATTAATTTAATACTTTTATAGCGCTGTAAAAGCGTATTTTTTTAACCTATTTTTACGCTATTTTTAGTCCTAAAGCGTAATTTTTTTAGCCGTAAAACGTGCCGTTTATTATATTTAGTTTATATTTATTAATAAGTGTATTTTTACGGTAATTTTTAGTAATTATTCGTAAAGCTATATTATTTTACGATTTAAATTTAATTTAAATAAAATTAAAATTTATTTTTAGGCGAATTAGGAAGGCTTTTATTTATTTTTTTAGTTTTCGTATTTTTTTTTTATAAACCTTTTTCCTTTTTTTTTTATATTTTTTTGCGCTATACGTTCCCTACCTACCTTATTTTTTTTTTTACGATAACGATGCTTATCCTTTTTGCTTATATACTATTATTAAAATATGCTTTTTGCCGATTTCCTTAAATCGGTGCTAACGTTTAATTTATAATTATAAAATTTAAATTATACGTTTAAGCCCTAAAATATACGTAAAAAAAGGCTATTTATGCTTATTATTATTTTTTTATATATATAAAATAAAATTAAAAATTTTAAATTACCTTTTAGCGTTATTTTTTATATTTTATTTTACCGTAAAAAAGTCGCTTAAAAGCCGTGCCTAAAAAAAATTATTTTTTTTTATTTAGGTATAAATTTAGTTTACGGGCGATATAAAATTAAAAAAAACGTTTAAAGCTTCCCGGTATTTATTTTTAAGCGAATTTTATAATATTTTATATATTATACGAATCCGAATAAAGCCTATTAGCCGGATATTAAGGCGAAAAATAATTAAAAACGTTTTTTATTACGGGTTATATAAAAGCTATATTTTTAAGCGTAAAATCTTAAAAAATATTATTAAATAATAAATATATACGAAATTATATAAATATATTTTAATAGCTATTATTATTTAAAATATTTTTTTTTTAATAAACTTTTTTTAAACGATATAACGGTTTTTCGGGCGGTTATTTTATAAATTAAGTTTATTATACTTATTATTAATTTAACGGGGAATAAATCGGCTATTAAATTATTTATATACCTTTTATTTAACGTATTTTTAACTAAAAATAAAACGGCTATAATCAAGGCTAAACGGAATAAATAATTTTAATCCGATATTAATAAATATATTCGAATATAAAATATAATTATAAATTTTAAAAACGATAACGCTAATTAAATTAAAGTTAATAATATTAAATTTATTTTATTAACGGTATACGAGCTCGAAAAGCTATTTTTTATAAAAAAAGCAAAAAATAAAGCTTAATTTTTTTCGGGCCCGGATAAAACCGGGTCGGGCCGCCTGCGTAATATTTAAAAAAATATTAAAGCTAAAATAAATAAAATAAAAAAAATATAATTTTAACGTAAAACGGCAGGTTTTAAACGAGGTTAAGCGTTATATTACGCAATAATCCGCTACGGATCGCGCTTTTACGGGTTCGGCGTTAATAAAGGTAATTACGCCGTTATATAAGTAAATAAAATTTGCTAAAAATAAATTAATATTAACGCCTAAAACCGCGCTTTTAAATTTTCGTATAACCCGTAAGCGTACGGCCGCGAAAGCGAAAGACGATAATAGCGATAATTCGGAAGCTTTTATATTTATTAATAGCCTAAAACGCTTTAAAAAATTAGCGAAATAATTTATTTTTTTCGATTTAGCGAAAATATATAAACGAATAAACTAAATTTAGGTTTTTTTTATTAATCGACGTTTTGCTATTTTTATTTATATTTAGCGTTTATTTTTATTTATATTAATATATTATACGATTAATATTATATTTTATTTATATTAATTACCGGTTTATATACCGATAAAATTATATATTCTAAGGTATGATTAGTGGATCATAAACTTAAGCACAGGGAAGCGTTCATATGATTCGTAGAATCAGGCCGTGGAGGGTAGTTATAGGGCTATATAACTAATTTATTAAAGCTTAAAAAAAAAATAACTAACTACAAAGGAATAACTACCTTTTATACCTATAAAATCAACTAATAAAAATATTCTGGAATATATTACTAATAAACTAGATTTATAATTAAATTAATTAGTAATAAGGTTAATTTATAATCGAAGAAACCATCGAAATTTATAGATTTTTATAGTGTGGGTTACCTTGTAACCCTGGGACTATTATGGCCAGGTGCATTAGCCACATTTAGTGGGGCTTGATCCAGTGGAACGTTCCACTGGATTCCAGTGGGTTCCAGTAGCTATAATGGCCACAATAGTCAATTATAATGACTTGTTAACTATATAGCATTGTGAATAGTGGCTATAAATGGTGCTGTATTAACTATAAGTCAGTATAGGGTAAGTTTTATTGATTTCCTATATATCGTTATTTAACGATATTTCGATAGGTTTTATAGCTATTATAACGATATAATATGCGTTATAAAGCTAATTTTATATATTATACGATGTTATATTAATATCCGTGTAATATTCCCTTTGTTAAATAGTATCGGTTAAGTTTAATAATTTAATAAATTTCTGAAATTTATTTTTGGGAAGTGGCTTTGTAAGGCCGTTTGTTGGTATATCGTTGGTTAAAATATATTCGATTCGAATATTTTTATTTTTAATTTTTTGCCGTATATAAAAATACCGTATAGTAGTATATTTAGTACGTTGGTGATATTTGTTATAAACATGCACCCTCGCATACGGCAGATAAAGGATATTAGCGCTTAAAAAAACAATATGCGGGGCTTAGGACCGAAGTCCGCAATATTCCAGACAAAGACCAGGCCAGCACCTTTGCCAGCTATTAACGGCTATTAACAGGTTTACTACTAGATTAGTAATCCAAAGGTAAAACTCATAATAGGATTAGTAAGCCAGACGTAAGTATTACTACCACGATGGTGACCCAGGAATATCAGTAAGGGAATAAATGGATATATATTATAGAAGGATTTCCTATATAGATAATTATTACCTTAGTAATCAATCTAAGCATCTATTTTACCTATAGGTGAAGCATTTAATACGCTTTAACGACTATATTTGTAATATTAGTTTAAGATCATCCTTATTATTTTTTGCTTAGCTTAGTATCTTGTCTAACGTTCCCTATTAGCATAAACCCCAATACCCCTTATACTCAGGTTTATTCTAAAAACCCGTAGTATAGTCGTTATAATATTCCGGATTATATGCTAAATTTATGGCTTCCGTATTATTTTTTTTAATTAATACGGTATTTGTATTAATTCCGATTTCCGTAAGGAGATTTTTTAGCTATATTGCTTTACGGGTAGCCTGCTTTAATCCGTTAAATTCGGCTTTGGTGGTTAATAAAGAAATCGTAGATTGTTGTTTCGATTTTTAATTTATTGGCCCGTTATTTAAAGCAAATAAATAACCGGACGTTGATTTACGGGTTTCGTAATTACTAGTAAAATCGGCATCGGAATAACCTATTAATCCGGGTTTTATTTTTCCGTTAAAGGTAATTCCAAGGTGGTAATAGGATTTTAAATAATTAAATATCCTTTTTACCCTTTTTATTATGGTTTTCGATAGGTTTTATATATATTTGGCTAAATAT